TTGCACATTTAAAGACAGTGAAAAGATATAAAAGTGTATAGTATGATTAAATTACTACACTAGTGGTGTGTACTTTCTGGTTGGCTCGTCTCATTCCTCAGGATTTCCTGTTTCCTGCGCACACTACGGATGACCCCATAGACGCTTCATTTTCTTGTACGTTACTTGATATTGTTGTACATACTAAATAGCTCAAACGTTTAGTCAATTAATTATCTAATCACGAATTTCATTTCTCACTACTTTCATTATCGATTACTAGAACTCACTCAACCTCTATCAATTGAATCTACAAATCTGACGATAAATCACGCAAAAAAATATCCGATTAATTTATTTGCACGAATTTTCTTTTAAGATTGAGGAATTTTGCAACTTCAATATTTACGGAACACTGATAGTTTTTTTGATGCATTCTACACAGTGATTGCGCGAATGTGTTTAATCTCGTTGTATTCAAGATTATCCACATTGCAAATTTTCACTTTTAACGCACTTGAAAGTGATTAAAAAGTAACTACAGTACTAATTAAACTGGTGGTGTCATAGTAAAACACATCAAGTGCATTGAAATAAAACACTAAGATTTGCAGTGCATTTATATTTTTTTTTAATTGTGTTCTTTAATTAATTTTATATTTGACAAAGTTTTTCCTCGATTACATCAAAAGTACTATATTACGTCTGAAAACATGGGTTAAAGACCAGATATGAGGTATAGTGGAAGACTTGATGTGTATTTTCACGATGAATGAACGCCTTCATGAATAAAATGCGAGCATGTGGACCTCTATCACTGTTGAGCAGAACAGTTCAAGCTACATTTTTCCAATTTTACACTTTTTCAATGTTTTTATGTCAAACTTTAAATACTTGAATGTTAGATTCAATTTTTTTTTGCCTCCAAAGTCACTTTTTCATGACCTTCTTTTGAATTTATTTAGCTTGACTCGTGATCTGATTAAACTGTAACATATATTACTTGATAGCAGAGAGATGATAGAAGTGAAATAAAATACGTACTAGAAAGATGAACGCTTTGTCCTACATTTTTGTAACATAAGTGAAACTGATGTATCTCGAATTTTCATTTTTATTATCTAATTGTAACGAGGATGATGATGCAATTTATGTTTCAGTATATATTGATGAAATTGAAATTATAATACAATTTATATTTGGATGACAAATAAAATATGCAAGTGATGAATTTGATTGAAAAAGTTGTTGATGAAAAAAAGATGAATATGTTTAGAAAAAAAATCGTTTCATCAATTTCTAATCAATATTTTATGAAAAAAAGGACATAAATTTTGTTTTGAAACAATATCCTGTCAACGTATACCCAATTTCCAATGTGCCAAAGTAGTTTTTCATAAAGTTGACGTGAATATGGTAAGACTTTATACGCTATCGGCATTTTAAAGAGGCTGTTCTATTTACACGATGATATGTATGTTGTGGGATTAAGTTTTTTGTCGATATTTTTATTTATGAGAAATATTTATGATACAAAAATTGCTGTTTTATCTGATTTATACAAATAAAAAACAAATCTTCTAAACTGAAATAAGTCGGTGGCTTATTTTTTCGTTGTTTTATTAATTGGAAAAAAATTGATCTAAATTAAACATTGATTTTACTGATTTCTAATTTACTTTAGAAGACTTGAAAATTTTAATTTATATTACAAAATTATTTTATCTATACATTTATTATTTGATCATTGTACATTCAGAATGAAAATTTAATAAAGTATATCTCTAGTGATAACGTAAAAGTATAAGAAAACGTGTTTTAAAACATTCTTTCTTTAAATTATATTTCTATTATTTTTATATAAAAATCCAAACAAATATGTTTTTCACAAATTAATTAAGAACTTTATCCTTTTATGTTGGAATTTTTTTAAAAAACTTTCCTTCATGCAGATTCTAAAAAATAGTATTATTTACAAATAAAATAAAAACAATCCAATTTTTCCCTATGTTTGTATACACTTTTTTAAATATAAATAAAAAAGGAAAAAAAAACCAATTAACAAAAACCTTGGATACATATTTTTATACAATAGACTATTTTTTATATATTTTTTCCTCATTAATATCCGGGATTATTATAAAAAAACCACCTTTTCAACCGAAAAAAAATTCAATTGAAATTACGTTAGCGGTTTAAACGTAATTGAAAAGGAATTTTTTCTTTAATTTATTTATAGAAATAAAATCCAAGTATCTAAGTAATAAGCTGTAATCGAATTATAGTTAGAACGAAGCATGAACATGAAAGAATTTCCTACATGTCATTACAAGTAAAAAAAGGCGCAACTTTTTTTTTTGAAAAATCTTCAGCAAGAAAATTAATAAATCATCGTAGTCTTTATACTTTTGAACCGTTAAAAACGATAACGAGTAGTCTCGGACCTTATATTAGCCTTCAACAATGACCTAGCTGTAAGGCATTCATTTGACTTAAATTTACATTATAATAATAACAATACCATAAGCTAGACTTGTTGTGATAAATGTAGAGCTACAAAACAGTTATAAGCCATTATCATCCAAACTTGTCCGCAGCTATTACATTTACTACACCTGTGATAACAATAAATTTATTTCGCTTACTGATTGTAAACTAATTAACTCATCTCAATCAGTTCATCAATAAATCGAAGAGTTAAAAAAACAATTATCCACAATATTTTTATTTATTATGGTAACCAAAAAAATATTTCTATAATAAACAAGTGAGGTTGATTTACATCTTCGATATTTAAATGAAGAATACGTTCATTATGAAAAAAGGAATTTTAATTAGCTGATTTAATACAGTAGAATTTGTCTCTGCTTAAATTGTGTAGGTCAAACTAGCAAAGGTTCACTCGAGAATAAGTTAACAAAGCGTGAAATATTTTGAAGAGTCATAAACGTGCAATCACTCGAGCGTTGATTAATTAAGCTTGTTTTTTTTTTCATTATTAATAAAGCTAGAAACTTTAGATCTAAAATTATTTTTCCTATTCAGATACTTATGAGTTTATAAACTATTGATTTTTATAGTACTTGAAAAATTATTGATGTTTAATTATCACACGGAATTTATTAATTACTCAATTAATTAATAATTATCATGTGGAATTTTTTGAGCCATTAATTGATATTGATTGTTCAATTAATTGCATCATTTATTGATAGCATAGTTTATCAGAGGTTTGTTTTTTATGACAATCATGAAATTTCAAGTCTTGAAACTAAATTACAGTTATCATGATCAGATAGTTTGTAGTTGTGAGAATCCAATTTGATCAAACTTGATCTGGTCATGTTTGATGATATTTGTATCGATTTAGTTATATCAGCTGAATGCAGATTTTATTTAATCAGACCTAGATTGTGCATTAAAAGTCCGCAAAATAAGAGATACTTCGATAGATTATTTTATTTTAATTCTACTTTGCAAGAGAAGTTAAGTTCATTTAAAGTTTGATACAAGTTCTTAAGTTCTTTATGTAAAACTTATTAATGATGGGATTTTTTTAAATCTATTTCGAAAGATTTTAAGATCAGAATTCACTTTGATTGTAAAGTTTAAGAACAAAAGAAATGATAAGGACAATTAACATTAAGAAAAATGATCCACTAACCATTCTGATCATTCACATTTCTCTATCCTCCTTTCAATCTACCAACTATTATATGATTCATAAATTCTGTTTGATAACTCCCCCTTTTCTACGAAAACATATTTCATCAAAATTTCGTATACTTTGTACATAGATTTACTCATAAATAATCTTGCTAAAATTTTATAAAACTTGCTCAAGTGATTTAAAAGCATTTTCGTGAGAAACAGATGTTCTTGAGTCATGACTAGATGTACCTAGTGAAATTTTTAAGCATCTTCTTCAAGGTTATATTTAAGGATAATGTTTCAAAGTCATCTGGTAAGATATGCCAACATTTTTATCGCAGTACGGATTCAAAGAAAAGTCTATAAATTATCTAAAGAGCTTTTTAACAACGAATGCCCTTAATGACAATTTGACCGAGTTTCCAATAGCATGAAAGCTCCAAAAAATTATAGCACAGATTTTTTGCAAATTTACGTAATAAAACTAACTGATATTCAACTGATTGTTTCAATAAAAAGATGAAATAGTTGACTTAATAATAAATCAAACATTTAATTAAACAAATAGAACTTGTTTACTCCTAAAATTGAGATCATTACTGCGAATTGCTTCCAAGTAATGTTAGTTATAAAATCTTGAGCAAATATTTCTCTGACAAGTCTGTAATTTATTATATTTGTACACGATTTACTTATGTCCTATTTATTCAGACATTTATTATAAAAAGGGAAGAAGACAAAGTATTTGTTAAAAGCATCATATGGTTCTTAAGGAAGGGTAGGTTATCAAGTTCCACTGGAAAAACAAAGTTCCAACTCAACCATGTTTATGTTGGCTATAAAACATTGATATTAACCCTCCAACATCCATCATGTTTTCGCTAATATTATCATCCACCTGTGCTTTGGAGATCATTCTTTTTTGATATAATCTGAGAGCTTATTAAAAATGGGTAGACTTTCAGAAATACCTTCCATTTTTTTCAGTATATATTGAAACAAATATTAGTTTCAAGTCAATGCATTTTTAAACTGCAAAAGTACAAATATTTTTTTTTAATAATAAATATTTCATAATCATGATGATTATCTGATACAACTCCAAAGAGTGTTCAACAAATTAATTTAAATTCATGTTCATGATTATTTCACCAGTAACAATGCATTTCAAAATAACTACTGAGTTAAAAACTATCTCATTATTTTTTTTTTGCATACATTACATACGTCAAACTCCTACATCAACAATGTATATGTACATACCTACATGTGAAAAAGTACAAATAATCTCGTTTCATTCGAGTCGGGCAGTTTTGATCTCATCCGACATTAACATCTTGTTATAATACTCTCATTTATAGTCGTGTAAGCGTTAATTAAGTAACTAACCTATAAGTAGGTTAACGACTGGCGCCATTTCAAGTATAGGCAGCAAAAAATAGATAGAAAAATTTATTAGTGCGTAAGTATGAATATCCTAGTGATATATAATTTCTTATAACCACGAATTTTAAATAATGTCAAATTATCTACATCAATTTATCTAGATATTAATTAATTATTTAATTATTTTTATAAAAAATAAATAAAAAAAAAAAAATGAAAGAAAACTTTTTTGCATGAAATTATTCATACTTAGGTGTGTTTTCATTTAATTAAGGTAAAATTAAAAAATGTAAGGCTTCTGAGTCATCAAGAAGATACTTTTAATCATCGCTAGTAGTGTTGGTGAGATTCTATTTTAATCTTTGCTTCAAATTTAATATTTTAATTAAATGATCGTAATAATAACCCGAGAACAGATACAGAAATAATTATAAAAGACATGAAAATCAAGATAAAAAGAGTAAAAAAAGTGATTTGCTGGTAGGAATTTTCAGACCCATCCGTTTGATGAAGGTCGACAGGCAGCTGGGGAAAGATTGCTCGCGGCGCTACATCGCTAGTCCATTCCATATAGGCGCCATGTACCTAAACGAAAAGTGTATGGCGCCACGGTACATTCATGTTTACTTGTTTACATTCTCTCCGAGGAAACAGTGAATTATTTAATGACCAAATAACAAAGCAAACACAAAAATCATGATAATTAATATCACTTTATTCAATCTCTTTTCTTATTTTTAGTCAGCTAATGAATCGTATTTTATCATGGATATTCCATTATAAAATATCGCATTTTTAATATTATAATAAAGTTTATTTGAAATTTAAAATAAATAAAAGAGAAAAAGTTTGACGATTTTTTCATTTATTTGGCCATTTACAATTTTTCTCTATTATTCTAAATACTTTTAACTTTTTTACTGGATTATATTTTCTACCTGTCCATTGTAACTTTTTAATTGATTAAAAAATGAATTTTCTGGGTAAAGGGTGTTTAGATATTTCAAAAAGTTTTTTTTAATTATAATTATACTTTGAAAGAAATTTTTATTAGTGCTGTTGGTTGAGATGTCGAATTGTATCTTTAGATTATTTATCAATTGACAAATAAAAGTTAATAGTATATTCTACCCTATACCTACACTGACACAATCATATTCTCGATTATACTATCCTCAAATAAAACAATAACACTGGTACAACATAATGAGAATGGATCCAGAATGATGACAGGATCATATCATTTCTGTCATCATTCTGGATTCATTTCGTTCTTATCTTGTCTTCATTCGTGTTGTGCTATGCAAGAATTATTGTTGTACTTAAGAATATTATGATTAAGAAAAAAATTATTATTCTTGATCCAAGACCTTTTGATAATTTCTAGCAAACCTTTCCCATGTTTAGACCAAATAAAAAGTCTAGAAGTATGTAAACCTTAGATTTCTATTTGCTCCAAAACATTTTTTGTTTGGTTTACCTTTCGATATTTTTCTAAGTCGAAATTATTTATTAAAATTATAAAATATAGCTTATTAAAAAATAACATCGACATTTTGATTTATTTTTAAAATATAATTAAAGTTACTAACAATAGATACATATGAATGGAACAAAATTTATAACTCTCGTTACAATTAACTATTGTTTATTTATTAAAAAGAGAATAAAAAAAAATTTGGTATAAACGTAAATTAGAAAAAATTTTAGTATATAATTTATCAATTTTGAATAATGTCAAATAACTTTAATCAATCAATCAATCCATTATTGATTGAATGTTTTTTTTTTACATTGAATAACATAAAATAATTTTATTATTACTTGACATAAATAGTAAAATATAGAATACTGTGATTTTTAAATTATCAACAGTTTTTGCACTTCTAAAATACTTTTATTTAATTTATTAATCGATTTGTTTATTTTTGAGAGCAGTCAAGTGGATGAGAGAGATACAGAAGATTTACCATTCCTGGCCACTTGAAGAATCTTAAGTGTAATAAATTATAAATAGCAGAAAAAACCTATTAATTATCATAATAATTCTAACAAAGTTATTATTATTATGTTAATAATAGTTTACATAATAATTACTCAATTATCATGTGGGTTTCATGAAGTTAAAATCATCAATGATGATATACCCATTAAATTGATCAGTTAGTTCTATTTCTGAGGTAAGATAATTACATTACTAGAACAAATAATTCTATGTAAATTGACGTTTAACTGTTTTATTGACTATATCCAATAGTTATGGCTGAGTCAAAACTGTCTGTCGAATTCGAGGATGTTCCAAGGGCCGTTAGATTCAGTAAATTATATTCTGGCGATCATCTGCAAATAGATCGTAATCCTCAACTCACCCACATTGTGCACGCAACACTACACTTCTTTCAATTTGTAAGATAACCGTAATTTAACCTTTTGTTTTAATGAACAAATGCATCATTAACCTTTAAATAGTTATTCAAAATAAATAAAAATCATGAGAAAATAATTTGAAAATTATTTTATAATCCAATACGATAGTTAAAAAATTTTTATCAATATTTATCATTTGAATTTTTTATTAAATAAAAAAAAAAAGAGAGAGAATTAATAATCAAAAATCGTTCTGTTTGTAACTGTTTATATACAGAGTTGCTTTATTTTTATTGAGTAAATAGCACACCAAACATTGATTTATCCAAACTCTTACACACAAAAATGATAATACACAATCTCGTAAAATTGACCTAAAAAAAAATGCGATGTCCTGAGTGTAAATTATTAGTCATATAAGATAAAGTGAAAGTAAATGAAATAATCCATTAATAAAAACAAGACTATGAAGAAACAAGTAAATCTATTGAGGACAATCGGATTATGTTACATAATTGAAGTGTCACTTCACATTTTTACGCGATATAATAAACTCACGTGAATAATGTCACGTTCGAGGATGCGAAATGTGAATTGCGTGCTCGTAATGAAAATAAAGACAATCGGATCCATACACTCTCGATAAACTAATTACAGTGAAATGATTTTTAATGATTAATTAATATTGGTTATTAATTTTGATTGTGTATGGATATGAATATTCAATTGATTAGACAGTATAAAGAATAAAAAAAAAAGTGTTGGAGTATTCATTCAGCACTTTTAGAATAAATTGATCCAATTATTGAATTGCCATCCAGTTTATTCGTTATTGATGAGAATTGAATGAGATACTTTTATCAGTATAGCATTCGAAGATTGAAAAATTTTACATAACTTGTGATTAAATAAAAATATTTGATATCATGTTGATAATGAAAATTAAAGCAACTAATAAATGATATGAATAATATTTTTGTGTAGTGAAAAAAATTCTAGAGACTACAGTAAAGTTTATTTTTTTATTTTTAAATATATCTGTATATATTTTTTTTTAATGATTGTTGTGAATTCTTTTATCTCAGTTATCAACAACGAGTGAAAAATAATCGTATTTGACTTTGAACTTCAATAACTCTATTTCTAAATAAAAAAGAAAATATAAAAATGCATCGTAGGTCATTGAAAGGCTGCAAGTATTTCATTCAAAATGCTTTCATCGAGTGTACAAAGATTTTGCTATTCCATATTTCTCTTTTAAAAATTCCATCAGATATTTCATCTCTTTTCATCAACAAAAACTAAAACAAAAAAAAAACTAGAGATATAAATATGGTTTAAAAAAGAGTTAATCATCATGGTTTATATTGTTTTTTATGCATTTCCTGTCACAGGCAACGATCACGACTATTGAAGTTTTCCACCATGTACATCACGCCATTCACAAACAATCAATGAAACGAGATCCAACATTACCAAGTTTAGATCCAGAACGTAATACACTACTAATAATAAATTTGCCATTTAATGTGGCTATTAGTCTCACCCTTTGTTTCATTTGGTGTCTAGCAAAGAACTTCCACAGGAAACTGGACTTTGTAAGTTATTACTTCCTTAAAGGATCAACTATTAATGACTAATTATATTATTTATAGAACAGCTTTTTTCTAGTACAATTCTACTCTACAGAGTACCCTTTGTTAATAAAAAATGCTAACGGTTTTATTATTGGATTGCATTTTCAGTCTTTGGTCGGTTGCTCAATTCAAAGTATCCTATCATTTGCAAATGCAATCGTAATAATGCGACAAGCGCGGATTCACATAAATGAAGCTGGAGTTCACCGAGAAGATGTTATCGAACATCCCATTTTTATTCATTGTTTTGTCATCTGTATGCTTTCGATTTTTGGCTTTTCACTTAATCAAACACAATTTTGGCTTCTATATGATTGTCTTGAATGGGTAAATTCTAGATGAAATATTTTTTTTTCTACACTAGATTAATTATGCTTTTATGGATCATTTGTCATTGCACAAGAACTGATTTTTCTAGCGTAAAAAACAAGAAAAAAATCAAGATACAAGTGTAAATAAAAGTCATTCGTCTCAAGACACTCAATATCAAATGACTGACAGTAGAATATCTGATGATCAATTGAAACTAGACCATATGTTGAGACTCGATAGATCAGTAAGTTATTATTATTTATATTTTTATTGCTACATATTTTTCTAATTCATTTACATGGATTGATAAGTTTATTTTTTGTAAAAATTATTTATCTGATAGTAGGTCAGCTTTTTTATAATTATTTTTTTTGAAAAGACACTTGAGCAGTCATCTAGCGTTTCATAATTGAACTACATAATTACTAAATGTCGTTAAAAACGATATCTACTTATTTAATTAATTATTTTTAATTCAAGAGATTGGTTTTATTATGAATTAAATATAATTTCTCAATTTTAATTCGTTAAAATATAGAATATCTATAAAATAAATAATACAAATAATTTTAACATGTGATTAAACAAAAGTCATTCCCAAAAATTTTTTTTGCAAAAACATTTTGCTAATTAATTTAGTAATAAATACATGTTTTAGATTAATAAAAATGATTAAGCGAATAATAATCGTTAATTTGTTTTTTTTATTATTGAAGATACATAGATTTTAGAAATAGAAATGATTGCATTGGTAAAATATTGATACATAACTGTCATTCTCAGAAACGATTATTTATCAATTTTTATCTATGAAGTTGGATCAACAGTACAATAAAAATGTTAGCATTGCAAAATGTCAAAAGACTTATATAATACCGAATTTTTTTTCAATTACTCTGTAGCCATATGATTAATGATAGCTAAATTATGTAATACAAATATTTCATTCTTCTGATTTATTGATAAAAAAAAGTCAATATTTTAAATCAGCTTTTAAACCATTTTTTTTAGCATCATCTTTTACAAACGCATAATCTTCACATGTTTATAGGAGTGTCTAGCTAGATATCAATTACAAAAAGCTATTTTAAATATTCCACATAAATTGAAACGTGATAAATCGTTGTTAGACACGGTAGCTAGAAGACTTATGGGTTTGAAATAACTATTGAGGATTTTTTTTAAAAATAAATTAGTTCAAACTTATGTTACTGATAACTCTACTATTGTAGTATTGATAAGTCAAATTGATGATTCATAATTATCGCACATTTACAGTCGAAGATTGAAGATGATCCTGTGAATTTATACTGTTGCTGCGTGGATTACTGGAATTATTTCAGATTACGAGGTAGGCGCAGTGAAATTAATCATGAATTTCAAGTTGTCTACATCATGTGATAAGCCAATAGATGAGATCATATTTATAAAAAATACCATTAGCTTCTATCGAATCAATTTTATAATGAACATCTCGTTAAAATTTTCTTGTCACAAAAATAATACTCATGATTAATAAAAAATGAATATAATTTTTATCTAATATTAACGTTTTTTTAATTTTCTAATATTTTTATGTTCAATAACAAAAGCTTTTTAATATCTATGTGCTGATATTTATGTATAATACATATTCAGTCAAATTAGTTATTAGTTGATGTGTCAATTCAGATGACTGATCTATCCATTTATTAATTCGCAAATAACTGATTTATTCACACATGAATATTCTCTTGGTATGACCTAACAATGACGATCTTGTGAATACCAAATCTAGTCTGCTTCCTTTCATTCATGGAATTCTACTCGGTTACGAGCAATAACCTACAAGAGCATTAATTGTACTTAATCATTGCACAATCGCACTACTATTTGACATAATACGATGAGATGTATTGTCAAAATTAAATAATCTAGTATTTTAATATTAATTACTTTAATATTCAATTTCTGGTATGATATTTTTATAAATTTCAAATTAAAATAACCTCTTCTTCTCTACAAAATGTATTTTAATTTATAATTTTAATATAATTAATTACTTGTAATTGCAATTTCAGCAAACATTATTTTCACTATTATAATTGATTTTTAATTCGATATAAAATATATTTTATATTGAAAATACCGTCGACGTAATACAACGGAATAGTTTGCGTGATGTCAGAAGTATTAGCAGACGTGTTGAGTTATTTAAAAAAAGAATCACGCCCAATAGACCCGACGCATGACTACAAACTACGAGTAGGCCTCGTAAACTGAAGTGGGAGACATTAAAAGCGTGAACATGAGATGACCCTCAGAATTGGATGCTTTCAATTCCACTCTCTTCAAGACCATTGAAGACTGTGCATCTTACTCGTGTCACTAGTGTGGTAGCCGGTCTGTTTGATTACCTCATTCTCCAGAGATTGTAAACTACTGGTGAGTTTTGATATTATATATCATAATATTTGCATGTTCATCTCTGATGTATATATTCAAAATGAAATTACTAATAAAATAGTGTATTTGTCTATGCTTTTTATAAATTAAATAATTAATATAAATTAAAATTATTTTTCATGTTTGGAATGACATCAATTTTATTGCGCCACTATTTTTTTTGATTCACCAATCAAAACAAAGCATTGCAAAAGACGTAAAAGAAAATCAATGATTTTTCAAATCTTAATATTTTATTTATTTATTTAATTTGAATAAGTAATATTTTAATTTAAAAATCGATTTTATGAGTATTGCTAAGAAAGAGAGAATTTATTTATATTGTTTATTTTAATTATAATTTTATTTACAAATAAACAATATTGTTTTTACACCTTCAGTACATGTCCTTCTACGAGCATTACTTTTATGGAAAAAGAACAGTTTATAAACACAGATTTGGAATTAGTAGATTACTAAAAACTTCTAATGAAAGTCAGTACATTAACCTAAGAAACGAATTTATTACGAAAATATTGATTGTGAGACATTTAAAAAATTATTGTAAACATTGTCAATGTTTAGAATTAAAATTAATACTTATATGATCATTTTTCCAAATTTAATCATCATGTTTATTGTTTCAAGAATACTTTATTATGAAGGTGGATAATATCGTTAGTTTTAGAATAATAGAATCGTAACGCAACTTCTACACTTTATGTTATTGACGTTTGTAAAAGCATGAAGTGTATATACAGACATCCGGTGATATCAACGGGGGTTTTGTGTTGTGTATAACGGATAAAATCTAATTTTGTTCGCGGGAACGAAGAAAGTGGGTTAACGATTTTTATACTATCTTATTATGTTTTCTATTTTCATTTATAAGTTTCGGCATAAAAATTGATGAAGTCATCAAGTTATGTGATAACTAATAGCTAGTAAATCAAATATATGATGATAAAAAACATAAAAAAGTATGATTTTATTGATAATTAATCAAACACTTGTTTCAGAAAACAATGGCTCAGATATCAAGACATACTATTCTTAGATGCCTAGAGTTGGTAAGTAAAATTTAATGATAATTCAATTTTTATATCATAAAGCTGATTAATAATTGTTAAGAATCATTTAACATCAAAAGCTATCAATTATAGTTGTAAAGATCTTAATGAATTCTTTGATTATCTTCATTATTGAAAAATTACACTCTGAAGCATTTTTCTTAAATGAACTTTTTCTAAAAATAAACATATTGTCGTTATTATAATAAAACTGGTCTGATACAGTCATCATAAAATTATGACTGCGATGACACAATCGCGCATTCTTCCTCGTTGAGGTTCATCGATTACAATTACATTATAAATAAACGACTGTTAAATCATGATTCAAAACAAGTCCTTAGCCTTGCATGATTTTAGCAAGGTGTAAAACCCATTAATATCAGTTATTATTTAGCTATACAATCTTGCAATAGACATTTAATAAACACTATCTTCACTAGCGGACATTTAGCTGTAGGCGTATCAACTTGGTAAACTCTCTAATCTTGTTGAATAGTGCTTTTAAAACCAAGTTATCAGTTAGAAAGAAAAAAAGATGAAATAAATGTTCCTACATCTTAAAGATTTCAATTGAAGCTAAAAATTATTTTTATTTTTGTAATCATCAATTTAGTTTGAAGTATTGATAGATAGACATACTAAGTTTTCTCATTGGTAGTCTAGATGTTAACTTTAGCATTCCAAACCAATGAATTCATTCTCTAATGTTAATAACTTAAGGCAAAGCTGCGAAAATAAATAATTACTCAAATTTCAAAGGAGCAATGAATCAGGTCGAATGGAAATGATAAATGTCGTAGTAAAATATTATCTTTTTTATCAAATATATGCGATCATGACATCATGACATCATAAGAGAAGGTTTGCAATAGTAGCCTTGAACGTATGTAATAACTTTACTTTTAAAGGCGTTAAAAAGTTTACACAAGTAACAAATTAGTGCTGCCTTTAGGGGTTAATGAATTTGAAGGTTTTATTTAGATGATTTAAGATCTAGATATGACTTATGCTTATGTCATATTATCACTATTCTTGTTTATTTTATGACTGATATAATAATTGTTTGAATTATTTTAGGCTTTGATCGGTTGCATCATTGGACTTTATTTCTATTCTGAGACCTCTGGACAAGCAGCACGTTTTATCTCTAGTGCAACTGCAGGTGGATACTTGGTGATTCTTATTGGTTTATTTGCTGGACATGTGATGGGCACACCTGTCAATCGACGTGTGGTATGATACATTTTTTAAAAATTCTTTTAGTCGTCAAACAATTGTGATCACTACTTCATTAAATGATCCTAAGTTATTAAAATTAATGTATTTTTGTAGGAATTATTCTTCACTTTGATTGGATGTGTCTTTTTCATTGTATCTGGAGCACTAGTAATTGATGAAATGGGCAAAATATAGTTACAATACTTCTCATCATGATCGAGGAGTAGCACGTGGATCTCTTTGTATTATTACAGGAGCAATGTTGCTTGTTGACTCATTTTTAACATTTAGAGGAGAAAATTAATTTAATTACAACTATACTGCTAAGTACAATAAGACTAAATTATGAAGATTTTATAATAATTAAACAAACTAAATTTTGAGACAACTTTAAAATTTCTCATCATTTTTGATGATGACTTCAGGAATTTATTAAAACTAATTGAGTAAAATATGATATAATAATTTACCAGAGAATCATTTTGTATTAGAGTTAATATTCTGTGTAACACTACACAGTGATGAGAAATTTAAATTTTCTAAGTTTAAGAACATTAACATATTAATATTAATTTTATTTATTGAATTCATTTATATCTGTACATTTATTTATAATCATTCAATTGAAGTCCATAAGCTGACCAAAAAATAACTAACGCACATTCCTGAATTTCAAAATGTTGCATTAAAATAGAAAAATGATCACTAATTCGATCAGTTCATAGATAAATAAAAATTAATTTATATTAAGTTCTCTCAAAAATTTATACTTAATATTATAATTGTAACGAATGCCAATTCACTGTACAACAAAAAAAGTACAATTTATGAACAATATATTTCTTACTCACAAGGAGTTCTTGTTCATCACAATCACAATTTTTCAAACAAATGAATATATTTTTGTATACTTCATTAATTCACTGTTTGTCTACATAATAATTAAAGCTTTTTATTGTTATATTTTTAATAAATCTAACGAATGAAAAATAATTGGAGAGATTTTTTTCAATTAAACCTACTTATTTGACATTGATTTTAATTATATCAAAATGTCTCAATTGTAAGAAGCGTGTGTATGTTCGAAGAACGTAGATAAAAACAAAAAATCAACAGAAATAATTATTTTATAATAAAAAGAATGTATGAAACTTACATTTTGAGCGATAAAGATGACTTATTCAAGGAAGCTTTGTTTACATAAAGGCACGTTGAGTCGTAGAGCACTAACGCTGTGGCCATTTTGTCGATATGTTGCCTCCAGTCGAAAACACTGACATTTAAACTCACCATTTTAAATACATATACTTCAATATTATTTATAATTCAGATTAATTATATTTACAAATAATTTTTATTTATTGTTTATTCGTCAGTCTCGTCCTTGAGAATAGTATTTAATTAGGTTTTTGAACTTAAAGCATTGAAAGCTATTATTGACCCGTACAGGCGACAAAAAATGCATAAACTATAGCAAACTATATTTACGTATTCACGGACACATCTATTAATTTGTCATCTATAGCTAGGTTTCTATTTGTCAAAGGGTGGGGCTTTGTATTAAACTCGTGATATTACGTGGATGTAAATTATACGTATGTAAGTAAAACAATTACAAATGCTCGTATTTATTCTATTTATATTCTAGTAATGATTTTAAATATTCTAACATCATATAGATGTAAAACTATTTTATAAATTTTATCGAGGGCATTTTCTCAAATTTGATTTTTTCTAGAATAAATAGGTTAGATTGGATTAATCGTAATCAAATAAAAGTATGTTTATTTTATTTTGCTCCGTCATTCTAGTGAAAATGCATTAATGAATTGACGTCCATCTGAGAAATTGTGAGTATCTAAAAGTGCTTCTTTATTGCAAAAGTGAAATGGATAGCAATAAGGACGAAGCGGAGAGATGTATGGAGTTGGCAGAAAAGTTCATGAAGGAAAAAAGGTTTGACGATGCTGAGAAGTTCGTAAAAAAAGCTTTAAAATTATATCCTACAAAAAAATATGAAGGTAAATTTTAATATTGGAGTTCTACATTAGTACTCTATTAATATATTTACTATTTATTCTTCGGAGTAAAATGGCTCAATGTTACTCATTTTACAATAATTGCGATTATCCTTAAACCAGAATTCATCTTTTCCATTTAATTTTTTAGAAATTTTAGCAAAAATTGCATTGATTTCCAAGACAAGTAAAAAATTTGAGCCTGAACAAGAAGTCAGAAAAAGACCTACGGTCACTAAAGAATCTAGTCAGCAACCTTCGTCTGGTGATTATAGCAAAGAACAGTATGAACATGTGAAAAGGTATTTATTTTATTTTTACAATGCAGTAATTAAAGCTTTAATAAGTAATTTTTTTTATTCTCAAGCTGGTTATTATATTATTAAAATCTATTTTTTTTTAGAATAAAAAAATGTAAAGATTATTATGAAATTTTAAATGTAACGAAGGAAGCAACGGATAGTGAAATCAAAAAGGCTTATAAGAAATTAGCTCTTCAACTTCACCCAGATAAAAATAAAGCTCCTGGGGCATCAGAAGCTTTTAAAGGTGAATATATGTAACGTTTATTTTAAAAAAGTAAGAGCGGATAAATACAATCATGAGTTAATTTCTGATAATTTCTTTTAGCTATCGGAAATGCTGTAGCTGTTTTAACAGATGTTGAAAAACGTAAACAATATGATCTTTATGGTTCAGACGAAGACAGATTACAATCAGCCCAATCTAGGTCATCTCATACTCATTATAATTATACTAGAGGTTTTGAAGCTGATATTACTGCTGAAGAATTGTTCAGTATGTTCTTTGGAGGTGGTTTTCCACAACAAGAATTCTATATGAGACGCAGTGGAGGTCGATGGATGCGACAAAGCAATGCCCAGGCTCAACATGCTCATGCTCAGCAAGCTAATGGTTATACTGCATTCCTACAAATGTTGCCGGTACTTTTGTTGATTGTTCTGACTATGATGAGCAGCTTTTTCATTTGGGATCCACTGTATAGTTTACATCCAAACGCGTGAGTGTAATTAATCACTTTATTTATTATAAATAATGCATTTAAGATGTTTATAGTTAAGTTGAACATTGTATGCAAGATGTGAAATTTTTCTTAATTTAATTTTAAACAAATATATTTTTATTACAAAAAATTAAATGCATTGTTTTAATTCTAAGATAAACAACATTTACATAATAAAATTTTTGCAGTAAATATTCGATTCAAAGAACTACTCAGGAGTTAAAAATTCCCTATTATGTCAAGGAAAATTTTCACACCGAGTATCAAGGTAGCCTGAGACGATTAGAGATTTCCGTTGAAGAAGAGTTTATTAACAATTTACGACACGCATGTTATAGGGAAAAGAATCATAGTAAGTATTTGATTGTGATTAATAAAAAATTAATTTTGATAAAATACTTAATAACATTGAATTAATTTAACAGAGGAATTAATGATGATGAAGGCAAGAAATTTCGGAGATTCAGAGATGTATCATAGAGCAAAGAATACAGAAGTGCCAGCTTGCAAAAGATTACATGAGATTCAAGCAATGTAATTGCAGTTAGGATCTCAATTAAATTAAATTATAAATAATCGAATTTATAGAATGAATTTTCCAAGAGTTAAATTGATTTGATTTGTAAATAGGCATATACGTATATTTTAGATTGAACATTGTTAGTACATTGGAGCGATTGAAGCGACGCAATTGATAACTTTTTTTCGGTTTCAAGATTTCCAACAAAGCATCATAAATTATAGATAAACTTCTCGTTTAATTTATATTAGTCTTTGTAGATTACAGCAAAAAAAGTAAATTTATGTTAGTCGCACATATATTAGATGATATTATTAATCGATAATTTATAAGCTTTCGAGACAAAAGACAATTTTAATTATATTTATTGATTCATTATTTATATTAGTCATCAGCATCAATCTACACTATAAATTTCTTGTTCTTTTTCATACACATTTTTTTATAATAATTTTAAAAATCAATAATTTGGTTTGAATTTTAAATAATAATTTCATTTTCATTCGGAGCACATTAAAAATATAAAAATGCTGTTGCAATATATTTGGTGTTTATGTAGATTTATTTATAATATTCCGTTTTGAATTATTAAAGATAACTATTAAACAAATTAATAGATTGTTATTCAATTTCATGACCTAATTAATCTCTATCTCAGTTTTTTTAAATTTATTACAACTTGCATCTCGTAGAGATTTAAAAAATATGAAGAGGGCACTGCGTTACGTTTCTATGCCAATCTGTAGGTTTTATGGAGTGACGCTACCTTTGACCGTTTGTATAAACTGATACATCACGCAAAATTCGTACATATTTCCTATAATTTGCACACATGTGTATAAATGTTATTATTGTGAGGTAAAAGCCGACTGACGTTACTGAAGAATAGTATCTTGATGATTAGGAAAAGCTGAGAGTATAATAATGCCTAACCTAAAGTGAAGTAAAACAACCAGTGATCATCTTGTAGAATTTAGTTATTAAATTTAGTTGATAAAAATAAGTGAAAATAATAAAAAATGCCAAAAATAAGAAAACCACAGTCACCAGGAAGTAGTATTTGGTGGTTACGTCAACGAGAAACAGGTTTAAATTATTCTCTAGGCCATGTTGATCGTTTCTATAAGACTTTGTACTCATCAATTCAACCAGTGACTTCGTGGGATCATGGAAAAAATTTGCGAAATGCAATGCATGGTGGTGTTTTTAACTTGGAATATTCACCAGATGGGTATGTAGTAAACATTATCTTGGTTATATGATAATGAATTTTTTATTGATCAAAATTCTTATTTTCATCACTTAGCTCCCTTCTGGTGGCAGCATGTGAAAAGAAGAGTATCCTAATGTTTGACCCCCTATGTCGACGTTTAATTCATGCAATAGACAATGCTCACAATGATTGTGTAAATTGTGTAAAGTTTTTGGACCATCGGATGTTCGCGACATGTTCAGATGACAATACAGTAGCCTTGTGGGACTCTCGTAACTTAAAACAAAAAATCCGATCGTTACACGGTCATTCAAAGTGGGTCAAAAGTATTGAATACAGTCCTCGCGATGAACTTTTATTATCAAGTGGCTTTGATGGCAGTATTCATACATGGGATATCAATAGTGCAACAGAAAATAGTTTACTTTATACACGGGTATTTCATACAAATGGACTGATGCGAACGCGTCTTACTCCAGATGCCTCAAAAATGCTCATTAGCACGACTTCTGGTTATCTCATAATAATTCACAATTTGCGATTGAGCACTTTATCCGAAGATCTTGCAGGATTCAAGCCTAATGTCTACAGGCTCATGCAGCTATCACAAACAACACTTCCAGCTGCTGCAAGTTTCACCCATCTCTTTTCTCACGCTAGAACTCACAATAGGGTAGAATTTATAACAGATTTTCCAATAGGAAATGATGCTGAATTTATTTCAAGTCTTCAAGTACATCCACAAGGTTGGTGCGTATTATCTAGGAATGTTGGCAATGAAGAGAAGTCAGAATGGACTTGTGTGCATGATATTCAAGAAAGACTAACGTCTTCAGACGTGGGTGAAGAAGAATATGAAGCTCCAGTTACGATTCCTCCGACTCCACCTGAAGCACCTCCGCAACCTCCAGCATCTCGTTCCAATATTAGATTTTTAATAGATAGTTCTACACGATTAATGAATGCAGCTTTTGGGCCTGAATTTACCGGAAGCAATAGAATTCTTAACAATTTTGAGTTAGTAACAATTAGATCAAATGTAGGAAGTTCTACACCACGTTCAGAATCTGAAGATGAACGAGTGCCGCGAGTTAATAATGATCGAATACAACTGCCTTCTCCACCACCGCCGCCATCTCTGCAAAACCAATTGAATGATACAAGACGAAATCGAAGTATTTTCAACAACAATAATTTTTCTACATCAAATGTTGAGCTTCATGTGAGCTCTACAGATGTTTGGGAGGCGCTAGTAGCCTTACGTGAAGCCAGATCGCGAAGAGAACGTGAAAGGGAGCTTTATTATTCTAACAATCCAGTTAATACCAGAAATTGGATGCTTCGAAGATCTATTGGAGACTCTACGAGAGAACGTAATTCACACACAGTTGTAATTCTTGGTGATCGTAACAGCACTAACAATTTTTATCGGCCAACTCATCAGCCCATGTATGCAATACCACGAAACCACAAAATTCACCAAAATGTTTCACGACTTACACATTATATTGAAGAACCGAATGTGGGTCTAGGATACATCAAGGAACTTTGTTTTTCCGCAGATGGCAGACTTATTTGTTCTCCTTTCGGATATGGAATTAGACTGTTATCATTTTCTAATGAATGTCAGGATCTCTCTCACTGTGTACCAGCTCAAAATGAGTCTGTTCAGCTACATGAGCTGGCTACTAACATTAGTCATTCAGATATTGTTTTAAGCACAAAATTTTCACCAAAACACTGTCTCCTAGTTTCTGGCTGTCTTAGTGGAAAAATTGTGTGGCATCAGCCTGTAGTCTAATTTCTCTTTGTTACTCATAAGCTCTATTGTATATAGATAATTCTACGGAAGGTCTAACATCCGTCTTATGGCATCAACAGTGATGGTAGATGCTATAGATTTCTTTATATTTATACTCATAAATATATATAGATATATATATATATACATATATATATCATAATTTTATTAGTTAATAAACATGAAGCATGTAATAAATTTCATCATTAGTTGTTGAGAATGGCTGCATCAGATGTTGGTCTTTTGGTGGAATTATTGGTATCCTTTTTATACTTAACTCTGAAAGAATAAAGTTTATTACACAAAATTTATTAAAATCCGTTGAACGCTTTTAGATCTCCTTTTATTCTTTTTGTATTTGATTTTATCGAATTCTAATCTTTCAAAATCTAATTTGCTTTTGGAAATTTTATTTTTCTGTAATTATGGTCAAATTGACATTATTATTTTGCGCATTTATACTTCTTTAATAAGCTAATTTTAAATATTTCCCGATTAAAATTTGAAATTGCTTAAAGCTTCTTCAAATGTAAATTTCAATTTTTTTATTCAAAAATTTTATTTAAACTACACTTAGTGTTTTTGTAAATTTTATTTTTAATTGACTGAAATTTAAAAATCAAAATCTAATGGAGAATTAATTAATAGCTTTATCGAAGAGCCAGCTAAAGGTGCTAAGCATCAAGCTATTTCGAACATTGGTTGAGAACTATTATCAATGGTTTATTTTTATTTCATAAGTCGGCAAGTAACTAGATCGATTCTATCGGTGTATTTTTACCCGACAGTAAATTAATTAATTCATTAATTAGCCACGATATAATGTGTATATAAAACTTATATAAAATGTAAAATTAGAATAGGCATCACAATTTGTATCTTGTTTTTTTAGGGAAATTTTTTTAAAATATTATTGTTTTTCCTCTTTTCTCGTATACCAAAATGACATGTCATATGTAGTAACTTTGAAAGCTGTTCAAAGAGTACTTAAATTAACAAATTAAACAAATTTTTTAAGATGGTTTGACGGTATAACTTACCATTTGACATGCCATTTTTTAATTTATTCATTATTAAATTAAATAAATTAATGGAAATAAAAAATTGTGTACAGAAAAATCTAGCTAAATGATTTTTTGTAAAACTTATTTGTTAAAATAAATTCTTGCATTGAAATAAACACAAAAAATTAAATAACATTAAAAATGTCATTGAAAGTCATTTATATTTTTTACCATTATAACAGTTGATTTTTATTTACAAAGCATTTGATTGTCAATATTAAAGTAAAACCAGTGAAAACAACTGTAATTACTCAGATTCTTTTATTAATATTTTAATGATAATGCTAATATTTAACTTAGCAATCGTTACTTTTTCTGGTTTTACTTTAAGAAATAAAAATATTACTAAATAGCAAATGAGATTGTACCTTGGTATCATTATTGAAATTTATTCCTACAAGAATATAACAAAGTTTGATTCTAAACTAACAGTTTTACTTAGTGATTATGAAAATTTAACCCAACCATAATACTTGGGGTCTTGAAAAATGAATAATTGAAATTGATGTATAAAATTATTTTCTTCGGGATATAAATAATTGTAAACGATTAATATTAGTCTATCATTCGTAGGCCTACATATTGAGCAAGCAACAGAGTTTAATGATTTATTTTTAAGATTAAGAAGTAAAATAAAATATTTAAATGGCAAAATAGAGAATAACTGTCAAAATTATATAGTTTACATTTGTTATGAGCATTTGTCCCATACTCACAGGCTTTTCTTCATCTTTCATTGACCTACGTGTTCTTTGCACCATAACTGGTGTCTGTTGTTTAAATTTCTTGGAACCATGTGATGATTTTCGATAATTGAAATATGAATTTTTATTATTATTATTGTTATTATTAATTTGATTATTAGAATCATATAATGATGATGATTTTAATTGAGCGGTATTTAAAGCTTGTGAATATTGATCAGACAAAAATCGAAAATCCAAACTATTTTCCATCATCTCCATGTCATCATTTATTTTATAAATTGATGAAGTTTTTTCTGGATATTTTTCTTTTACTGGATAACTTAAACTATTATCGTTAGTTGAATTGTTGAATTGATGGTAATAATTAGGATAATTATTGACATCCCGAATGATTGGCTTGAAACCACCTTCGATAACAATCGAATCCGGATCGAAACCAGAATATTTCGGTGTCACAGCAGTATCAGTTAAATAGTCACTTTTAGAAGAAATGATCTTCGGATGTTGTGATAATAGTTGCGGCAATGGTTTACTTATTGGCAGAGCTCCAGATTTTTTCATTGCATATATATACTGGTGGTTTACTCGCGACTGAGGGAATGTGTATTTCATAGGCCCATAAATTGGTCGTGCATCTGGAATGAATTTATAAGAATTAGAAGAATACATAGGATACATTTGAGACATTTGTTCTTCTTGATCATGAGAATCATGAACTGCTTGATGTCGCCAACGTCCCGTAGGAATAGTTGGAATGGTTTCGCGACGGTAAGTAATGCGTTCTGGATGACGATGCATTAGCATTGGATGACGCTGTGGATATTGATAATGATGAAGATAAGTAAAAGCTTGTTGTTGTGGATTTGGTTGCATCTGCGACGGATATTGTTGCAGCTGTTGATAATGTTGTTGATGCTGCTGAACCATAAAAGCCCCTGGATACGGAGTTTTTAATGTATTACGCGAATAAGCATTTGTTAATTGAAGCGATGATTGCGATGCGAGTTGATTAGAAGGCGTATAATCATGATGATTATGATAACGAGGATTTAACTGCGTTTGTTGATGATATTGATACTCTGGTTGTTGATGATTCACCTGAACGTGATAATAATTTGTTGGTGTTACCTTGCTTGGAGCACCAATACTTGCTTCAGTGCTTAGATCTTCTATTGGTTTTTCTAGTTTAACATAAACCTGATGTTGCTCACTAGCTGCTTGCTGTTTATCTGGTAAATTGCAGCTGTCTAAAACATTTATCTTCCAACCAAGGTAGCGATGAGCATAGCACTGAAATATTTCAAGAGTCATTTATTTAATTAAAATAAAAGTTTTTACTTATAAATGTTTTTATGTTTCATTTATAACAATTAATGTTATTTACGAGTATTAGTTTCAAGTAATAAAATTTACTTTTTTAAAACGTTACTTACTTGGTAGTACACTGTGTCGGGAGTATGTTCATCAGGAGTCCATTGAACAATTGCAGGCTCACCAGGATCACACTTTAAGGTCAGTGTTCGTTGATACCCACCGAATGATTCAAATTCATCTGCCTCTGGCTGATCTGGGTCATGGTACCAATAACAAAAACGTCCGGAGCCAGTTGGAACTAATGAATTTGAACCTTTCTGACGTTTAACGCCAGCAAATATCTTCACTTTCGCTTTTTCTTCAGCAGTTTTATGTTCATAGCCACCGACTGGATCATCAGTGATATAAAATGGATGGTAACGAGAAGGAGTATCCACTTCATCACCAGCTTCTACCACAAATGTGTAATTTCTGCCTCTCACGACATTGATCTCAGGTATGAGAAGACCGTTGATGTACCATGCGATTCCCCAGCCTACGTGGCCTATATTCAACCAATCATTTAGTTAATGTCAGTGTTGAATAGTTCTTATTATTTCTAGACTACACAATGAATTAATCAATTTTATAATTATGTGATTCATGTTCATTATTCTAAATTCGTATTTTTTTTATCAGATAAATAGATTAAGAAAATCAAATAAAACTTAATTAGAGATTGAATGTAACTGATTGGTTTTCAATTTTCAATGATTTTTGTATGAATGAAAAATAATAATATTCACAATATAATATTCAATTATCTGAAATGAGCATACCAGTTATAGCTGGATAACCATGTTTTCCACCAGTAGGACCCATTTGGGCATATAAAACCCCATCTTCTGGTTCATTGCATTCAATCGGTGGTATCACCCAGGCATTGGCGGTGGATGCGGGGGCTGGTGTGGCCGGAGCTCTAGTTGTTGGACGTTTGGTAGTAGTTGAAGTGGTTGCTCTTTCAGTGCTTAAATTTTCCTTACTTTGACTTTCTTCAGCACTAAAATCACTATTCTCTGGCATTGGACAATTCCATGTCGGCACTCGTCCGAACTCAATTAATTTAGTCGTTTTCGGATAATGGCTGTGAAAACTGACCTCATTTCTTTCATTCAATGGACCAATCGCCCAGATAATTGCTTGTGAAATGGTTGTATTTATTGGCAGATCTAATTCGTCTGAAGGTAACAATGGCCTTTGGTAAGTTATAATACTGTAGCCATTGACCAAGGCTGCATTGAGAAGTCGAATCGAGTTTGTATTGTCCTGAAGAAGATGAATATTTAATAATGTTACTGTTGCAAACTATTTTTTTGTATCATCGATCGTGTTTAAGGCATTGTAACTTTGGGGAAAGTTAACGTAAAGAGATCATTAAAAAAGTCTTGGGAAACTTGGAGAATCTAGCCTTCAGTGTTGTTGAAAATTTTTAGTTGTCTTTATCTATTGATTTTGAACTAATTAGTTTGAAAGTAATAAACTATTAGAACTAAATAGTCAGTTCAATTTCAGTTTAGTATTATTTAGTGAAAAAAATCGAATATAAATAATGAAAAAATAAAACTGATTACAGAAAATCTACAAAAATACTCTAATTTCAAATAATTGAATAATGGCAAAACCATTTGTAAATTATTTTATTTTATTTCAATACCTCAATTTTTTTCTAAAAATCTGTTATTAAATTACATTTTATGAAATTTGAGAAAATTAATTTTCCATGAAAAAAACTTAGTTAAAAACTTTGATGAAATTATTAATAACAAATAGTTTCTTTATTTGGCGATAATGAAATTTAATAATATTTTGAGCTTGTTTTTGAAAGTAACTTTGACAATATATAAAAAAATTAATTTCATTTGAAAAAAAAAACTTTTCTTTCGAAAAAACTTTTTCCAGATTAACTTCGTTTTAAAGAATGTTATCTTCAACTTTATATTGATAATTTTCCATAGAATTGCTGTCATTAAAATTCACCCTATTTTTAAACTGTCCCTTAATCTTTGTGAGTACGATATTTCATCAGCATTTTATTACTTTTTAACTAATCGGAATTGGAAACTGTAATTAGCAAAGTTGTGAAGGTAGAAATGAAAATTTATACCTGAATACGGGTGTCTGGACAACTTCCTCGAGTTCCAGAGCACTGAGACTTGGCGTCGAGAATGTAATCCACCGCGAATCCTTGGAGTGTTTGTTTGTCGACCCATGCTACTACAACGTCGCCGCCTACCATTATACTGCGGTCTGGATTAGCCGATAGTCCAAATGACATGTATTGATTAGCATCTGCAATTGAAAAATATTTTTTTAAAAAAACATCACTCATTATTGAAATATATTTTAGGGACATTTATTTATTGTAATGAATTTATTTGAATTTTAGAAGCAATTAATTACCTAATTTAGCCACAAGTTGTACCACAATACTGTCTCCAGCAATCGCCCATCTTACCTCAAAAGCCAAACTATCTTCAAGAACTTCACAATTAAGTTTGGACTGTAAATAATTAATAAATAATGCACGAGATTAATTTATTATTTAAATGCAGTTGAACTTTTGTTTTGTTTAATTGTTTTCAAGTCATTTGCATTTATTGCATGCAATAATGATACAATTCTTTGTTAGTTACATTGATAGTTGTATTTATAGTATTTATTGTTTATAAAATAAAAAAATAAAGTTGATAAAAATTTATTAGCACGATTCCTTTGTGATGAAAATTTAAAAAACATTTTTTTTATGGAGTATAAATAATTTTTAAGCCTATTGGCTATTAAATATAAGCAATAACGAGTACTATACAATTTATAAGTATATAAATTATGAATGGTTTTTTGATATAAAATAATTCCATAAAATTTATCGTTTTTTATATTTAATTGTTAGAACTTTCATTTTATAGCAAGAAAAATAAGCTCGATATGATGAGTTCTATCTTACTTTACAAATAAATATCAAAATTAATTAATGATTAATAACATTGAAAAAATATTTAAATCACCATAGACCTGTGTAATTAATAAAATATATTTATTACACATTTACCCTGTTTCGATCCATATTTATTGGCAAAACATTGATTACTTCAATTAAAAAATCTGATGATACGAATTTTTTTAAGCCAATATATCCACAACTAAAAACCGCAAAACTTTATTATTTAATTGGCAATAAAATTCACCACTTTTTTAACAATTTAATTCACAACCAAATCAATTTTTTCGTATTGAAAAAATTTTTTTTTTAATACTGAATATAAAAATAAATTTTCAATAAATTATTCCAACAAAATACTAAACTTTCACAAATTCTCCATAAATTATTAAAAAAAAAAATGTTTTCATTAATTTTCACTTTTACATGGAATCGTGAACATTATCTAATAACGAATATAGGAGTCGTGTCGTTGATTCCCTTGGTAACTAAGAACTCTAGCATAAGATGAAGGCGGTAGACTGTCATCATTTTGAGAGTGACGGAACGACGTGGGTGTGACACGTTGGCTATTTAATGAGTCAAAATTTTTATGAGGAAGTCTGTGATCAATCGAACGGATCGTTTGGACAGGAACGTGACGATCTAAGTGAGGACGATAGGTTGTTGGACGTTGAGTCTGATGGCTTTGTGTCAGCAAAGAAGAAGATGTTTCGGAGTAAGTGGAGTAAGACTGCTCTGAGTTATTCGGTCCAATCTGTCCCTGCCCATGTTCTACATTCTGCAACAACAGGACAGAGACAGAAGTTAACCGATCACTTGTTCTTCATTTACAATTATTTTTAAAATTTTCCTACGATATCAACGTGAACTTCCTTCTATTCGTTAAAAAGATAAAATAGCTTGGATTTCATTTAATAATAAAAATGCAATGCAATTTTCTCATTATTATTTCAACAAAGATATTTTTTTTCAAGATCTGATAATTTTTATACCAAAAGAATTCATTAAAATTACTTGCTACTGACACAAAGAAAGTATTATAGAGTATTTGATAAAAAGTTAAAAACTTAATTGGAATTTTTACAAAATGCTTTGTGATTTTTACTTTGTGCAGAAATAAAAATTATCAGATTCAGGTTTCCTTTTCCAATCTACTAAATATTGAGTAAAAATTAATTAACTTTTTTTTATGAATGTAGTTGAGTTCCAGGTCAAAATATCTTACAATTAAACATCGAATTCGAGTGACAATTCCGTTACATTCATTCCGCATCCTAAATTTTTAGACAAAATTATTGCATAAAAAAGGTCGATTGTTAAAGACAATCCTCTTTTTTGTCATATGAATCTATTGGGGAGAAATCGATTGAAAATTTAAACAATATGCGCTCGTGACCTAGAATTTAATCCAAGACCTTTCACTTTAAATATAAATACTTTCTTTTTGTTGATAATAAATATGACTTGTATAAAATTTCATCACTGTTATGTAACTTAATTTTAACAATTTATTTAAATAGTAATTGATTAATAAAAATGGCATACTGAAAATTTTTAAAACATGATATGAAAAATTTCTTTATCTTCATTAGAATTCAAAATGTAAATGAAGTATCACTTTCCACGATATTCTGACCTTTCACTATACACCATGTACATATAAAAAATAGCTGTGTAATATCCTCAATCATTATAATTCTCGAGTTGTCATGTACACTACTAGCAAAATATTTATAGCACTTGATAATCAATGAAGATTTAATAGAGACTGTAAAAAAATTTTAAATCAATATACATTACACCATAAATATTATTTCTATTTGAAGAGCTTGAGTTCTAATTTAATATCACACTCTTATTAATAATGATGCATGCTGAAATAGAAATCATTAAAATTAACAAAACATCTAAACTTAGTTCTACGTCGAGTTAATTGAAGCTAATTTTACATTCTTATAAACTCATCATACTCCCTTTGATTCTAATGATAAACTTATACGAGAAGTTATATAAGGAAAGTATTTAAAGCTGCCCTTGAATCGTTATTTCCTAGTGACTATTTTCTATGAGTTACGAAAACTCCAACTATTTTAATAGAATATTATTAATGTAAATATTTTCAGAACAAAATTTAATTAAAGCAGCTATCCCTTATTTAATCGATTCTCAACAATAAAAATACGGATAGTTGAATGGTTTTCATACCATCATATGTAATATACCTGGGGTGAAATGCCAAGCATATTGAGCGACGGTGGAACATTCAGACCTTTAGGAATATGAATAAAAGCGAAGCTCACGGCGAATGCTTCGCAATAAACACTGAAATAGTCGATCTGGAAGATTGTCAAGTCGCCTGGCAGGGTGAGGACAATTGTTTTGTTATTATAAGAAGGAAGTGGTGCTGTTTTGCCATTTTCGTCAGGTACTCGTATACCCTGAGGTGATGGAGCAGATCCAGTACCAACCCAAAATTTGACATCTGTCAACAAAATTCAATAAAAATTATAAAAATATTATCCAATAACTTAAAGTAATATTTTGTTTTATTTTATATTTATTGAATAAAGCTTCTTAAATCTACTTTTAGTGAACGAAATTTATCTCAGTTATTTTTACATTTATTCTCTGCATTTCAATATTCTAGTAAAAAATTTGTTGACATACCTGGAGCTTCTCCATCATAACTAAATGATGGAACTAAGAGAGTTTGAGCATCAATAACAACAATTGGGTCTGACTTAACACGGTGAATTCCATTCAAGGCAGCTAGCTTCTGTGGTTTGGGAAAATCGAATCCTCGTGGTATTCTTACGTCACCAAAATTTACCTGGAAAATGTAGATAAATAATAATTAATAAGGAATTTCGATATGAGTGTTTAGTTGTCCTTGCAATAGCTGATAGACAATGCATATGTAGTTCTCAAAAGTTGGAATTAAAATTTTCATTTGAATTAAGCATCGTTCAAACTATTGTACCATTATTATTCCAAATAAACCATTGTCCAGGAATGATATTGCTTCAAATTCCTATTAATTTTATTAAAAAATGGTTTTATATCGTCATTTTAATGAGTAAAATTATTAAACATATTTAATAAAAAAAAATAAATGAGGATAAAGTAGAGAAGTTAATTTTGCCCCACCTATCACATTTCCTCCATATGACCCTATAGGTATTACAAAACTCCCATGTAATAACTTTTAATTTCGAAGCACAAAGTGGACAAGAAATAAATGCTCGTATTCATGTTACTAAAGAAAAAGTTTTTATTAGAGACTTGGTGTAATGAAAGGAATAGAAATTACTCGATACCATTACGAATATTAGAGTTTATATGATTATAACCTCAAAATGTATAACGACCATCAACGGTACATTTTCCCTATTATTGGATTTCTTATTATATTCATCATTATTGCCATTACTTTAATAGTTTAATCATTTATAATTACATATAAAGAATAAATTATTCAATACATTAAGTAATAAATTAATTGAATAAATAAGTAAAAAATGTTAACTATAATATTGTCAATTTAGATGTGAATATACATTTTAATTAGTACAGGTCAGTAATCTTGTTATCATTTAATGTGATATTTATAAATTGATAAATATAATAAATTAATGAATTTGTGGAAATTGTTTGAATGAATTCGGTATCTTGGAAAAAGAAATTAAATTAATCAATATTATTTAACGAAGAGGAATGGATTTTTGAAAAATTTTTTTAACAGTTTAATTATTCTACACTCCTAGGTAATTTATTTATCATTAATTATTATGTATGAGGAAAGTTATGTCCAGTTTTTATGAAAATTACGTTATTCGAAATTTTTTAATTAGAATTTAAATTGATGAGATTTAATGTTAATTATACACATTAGTGTGAAATAAGTAGAACAGATTGATTGAAGTAAAGCAATGACAGCAATTATGATATCTGGTAATACATTAAATTATAATTGTTTAGAATTAAAACAGTTTTGACTAGATAAAGGTGCTTTTGTTCTTATTTTCAAGGATACAATAATTAATGATCCTGTTTTTGTCAAAAATTGTTTATTTTCTAATTTTAATTTTTTTTGTAATGTGGATCTGCAACCGTTCATAACTGCTCCTCTTACATCATATTTTTTTGCTAAAAAATAAAGCCAGGTACTTTTTACTCTTTAAAATATTTGAGAAAATTTTACTTGTAACCTTGACACATGTCTGTATGTATAACATGTAATTTTTTTTCAATACTTGTAATAATGTGATGGATAAATTATGTTATACTCTTTACTCTCAAAATTACATAATAATAATTCGTCATCTTTTTTTTCAGGAATCTACCCACTTTTATTTTTTTCTCTTGAAAAATATTTACGCGCTTAAGCAAATGAAAGTTTGTAATATATTATTTACGTGGCATTGAGACCGAGACTAACCGGTCTTCGCTCTACTTTGTCATTGAATTAAATAATGGAGCGCTAGAAATATGTGTGAAAGTAGCATCATCACACATAAAAAAATGTTTACGGTAATAGTAGTAATAACAACAATAATAATAATGAAAATAATAACAGTAATAATGGCAACAATGATGTCATGATAAAGATAATTATAAGACATAATGAAAAATGACTCACAGAGTAATCATCACAGTACACGGAGAACCACCTGATGTTATTTAAAGATTTTCCTTCTGGCAAGGCTATAGAGATACTTTTCTTATTGTATGCCTTGAGAGGTCCTGCTGATCCTTTTTCATCCCTTAGTTTGAATCCATTGATAATTGGAGCTCGAGAATTTCCGGCATAAAAATATCCAGCTAGAAACAATTAATCTTGTATTTACCTTTCATTTTTAATATCTCTTAGAACTAAGCAACTTACCAGGACCTTCACCATCATAAGTAAAGTCCTTTATAAATAAAGTCCTGCTGTCTACAGCATAAACTTGTCCACTCACTCCGTGATGTAATTCCGATAAATTTCCAATGAACTTTCCATAATATTCTCCAGCAACATTTTCTGTTTTAAAATTCAATTTTAATTATAGATTTATAAATGAATATAAAGAAATTCTAGGGTAAATAGTTTGAAGAGAGATTATTTCAATCATTTTACTTGGTATGTTTTTTCTTTAGATTGATGGGAATAATAATACATAAATATTTTCTTTGCTTATGTTAATTTTTTAATTAGAGTTTAAGTTGGGAAAATATGAAAGTCTTGCCACCATCATTTTTATGATAATACATAACATACATCATATGTTTATAACTATGATAATCCTTTTTTTTTGTATATATTAAATAATCCCTCAATATTAATTCACAAAGCCCTTATAACGTAAAGTTTATGTAGGCCATCATACTAATACTCTCTTTGAACATGATTTATAAACTGCAACCAAAATAAACTGATGCAAATAAATCCGTCGAGATAAATAATTTATTTGACACAGGAACAAAATTTATATGGTCATATTTATACTAACAAATCTCATTAAGTGTAGCAAATTTTTCTTTTCATAAATAAAATCGACGAATCCAAGTATTCTAGCTATTCTAACGTCTCGATCTATGCGAAACATCAAAACAAAAAAGAAGATGCCAATAAAAAAAGTATATTTATAGACAACATCAATGACTGATTTGTAATACTGCAATGAGAGTTACAGAATACGTAGAATATTTCGTTATTTGAACGATGTTAGTTTTATATGGAAAACGTGAGATGTTTATCTTTTTAAAATGCCATTAGATATACATACATAGCTCGTTAGAATTGTGCTGCTGAAAGAAGGCTTCCTTCAGCTACATCAGCACATAGTCTATATCCCGTTAAGCGGCGAATCGATTTTAACGACATTCGTGGATGTGCGCATTCTCTTTAACGAGACCAAGTCGTTTAGCTTAGAATTGAAATTTATGATGGTGTACACGAGGCACTAGTGTACCAAGAATCCCTTATTATGTACTCATTTACTATGCATCGTTACTGATAACTTGATTCAAACGGCCATCATCAATTTCATTTAAATTTGAATTCATTAAAAGATTCCTTTTTTCCAATCTTTCCAAGACCTTAGACTGATTTAGAATATTGCTTATAGGCATGACGTTCTGCAAAACTTGCTTATATTTTTTCCCAAATGGGTTCACTGTCAGGATGTAATTGAAACTTTTTTATAGCAAGAATGTTTTAAGTTTGAGTAAAGATACAGCTACTTGATATTACTAGCAATTGTTGTAGAGTATAGATATTATTCTAGAGATTTATTTATTTAGTGAAGTGAATCTCTGATATTTCCGGCGTTAAAATATTTTAGGAAAAATTTTAGATCACAAAAATCCATTTTTTCACCGATAAAAAAATATTTTTATGCATTGCTATAAAAATAAAATCTTCAGGATATCTTTATAACAGTGCTTGACCTTTAATCTCAGCCACTTTTAGCAATTTCTCTCGTTTTATTCTAGATGTTATATTTTTTGACATTGATAAAAGTATAGATAGTTTCAATAATGCAAATACGTCATGTTGACGACTAATTTTACTTGTATCATGATATTCTTTTTTTTTTGTTTAACTATTTTTTAATTCAATTTATTTTTTTTTACAGGCTCGGATATTGAATAAAACGTCGTCTTTCCAATTGGTGATAAATTTTGGAGAATATGAAAATTGTTTTGAGTAATAAATTATTTATGAAAGGGAGATTTTTAATCGAATTTAAATAAATGTATGTATTATATATGTATATATTGGTATTATGTAGTAATAATGGTCGTATCCATTTGAGATGGTCTTTTTTTCATCAGCGACACTCAAATGTGCCGTAGAAGGTAACAGAAAAACATTTTGCTGACTCCTGACAACTTTCATCGCTGTTAAGTGTCTCGAAATCGTGTGTGTATTTTCTTTTTCGTAAAAATTACCCAGCCTTTCTCGTATACACGAATATATTCACACATCTTTTCTTTATCTTTTATGTGAATTTTTATAAAAATACAGTTGGCTAAGAAGTTACAAAAAAAATTACTTCATAATAATGAAATAGTTATGATAATTCTAAATAATGAGAAATAATTATTATCATCACATGTTGTGTATTTAAAAAAATTAAATAAAAAAATAATTCCATTTTACAACATTGTAGCGATAACATAAAATTGTTTCTTGAAAAGAATTTCCACTTTCCGTGAAAAAATAAATAATTGAAATACAAAAAACAATAATTATTATGTGATTTTTTTTAAATCTCACTTATTAAATTATTCAGTAAACTTTGTGAAACGTTTTTTTTTTAGCGATAATATTTTTAATAAATTTTCTGACATATCATTCATGCCGTTTGATAGAAATAGTTCTATGTATTTTATTCAATTTATTACTCCAATAAAATGTATTATTGCTTTTCCAAGATTGGAAAAAAATGGAAAATCAAAAAAAAACTGACATTTTATTATAGTGAACAATTATTTTTCACATTTTTTAACATTAAAATAGTGTCCTGTTAAAATTAGTTTTCAACGGTGTGTTATTTTGAATTGATAGTTTCAATGATTAGCAACGTTGTAAATAATAATTGTAACTACACTAAGACATAAAAAGAAACATTACACTTCTTCATAAAAAAAAGTTGAAACATAAAATAAAGTAATAAAAATGAGAAAAAAAAAAACGATGGGAAGGAAAGCTACATCATATGTATAGTCCAATTTAGTTGTATATATGTACATACGCTGATCGTCTGACATTTACAAGAGAGGAGAAAGCAAGACAAACGTCGAGATTGGTATGTCGCAACGATATGTATACTTTCCTCTGGATTTTAAATTATGAAGTACGTTCATTTACTTCTCTTTCACTAACATCTCTCAAATATCATGACTGATTGAATTTATTGAAAATATTTATGTATCGTATTTATAGGAGAGAGGATATGAAAAAACTCATAATAAACCTATAAAAAAAAATATTGCAAAAAAAAAAAATCATGAATTCTAATGAAATGCTAATTAATTTTTTTCAATAAACCAATAAAAACGAACTACCATCGTAATTTAATTATATGATTTACCTCGAATAAACTGTTTGAAAATATTTATAATAATTATCCATTCATATTTATCCAAAAGAAATATAGCAGTAAATGATTAAAATCCAGTAATGAAAAATTCATGAAATAAATAACGAGGTTAAGTGAATCATATATTACTTGTTAGGATCATTTATTATGTGAAATAATTTTCGGCCACTGAGGCAAGTGTTTAATGCTATTAAAATATTCCAAACCATTGGAAATAATTAAAAAAAAAAAGAGAGATACAAAAGTTGCGTGTAAAGAATTACAATTTCACGTTGGAAACCATCAATTTCTCTAATAAACAGAGCACAGAATCTGCCAAGAATACAATTATGTCCTAACAAAGCATAAATAACTAAATATCATGATGAGCCTTTCCAATGTATAAATATATATATATTCAAATTTATACATCACAATCAGTTTCAATTTATATAAATTAACCTTTAGTTACTCGCACTAGTCTACCCAATATCTTTTATCGTGTGGTAAGTTCTATATCGCTCGTATTAAAGTTGATGCGACATTGCCTTATTGTCAATCGTATATTACCACTAACCCCAAGCGACAAATTGGAATCACTTGGAGATTTTGTATTTAAGGTGGCTCATAGCACGAGTAACAAAAGATTAAATAAGCAAAATCAATCAGATGAATGAATTATTTCTATAAATGAATAAATGAATCAGGAAAATAAATAAAATAAAAAAACTCACGTGTAAAAAATAATATGAAAAATGTAAGAAGACCAAGAGAGTGAAATTTGAAAGCCGCGTTTCCGCAAGAGGTTGATGATGATGACCACGAGGACAACGAGAACAAACTACTTCCGCTGTTCATGGTGTCTTCGGGCTTACTGTGTGGTTGAAAGTAACCAAGAGTGATTTAGCTATGAGCTAGGCTTTTTCCACTAATCCCACTCTGATTTCTGACAATACCAAAGTCGTTGCTCTCCCAACAACGTTATCCTTTACCTTTCAGACGACGTACAATATCACAACTGCAGACAACATCACCGAGCCCATTCTCCTTCTAGCCCGGACGCCAATACCACTCTCTTCATCCTGCATTTTCTCTTCGCTCTCTTGTACTCTTTTACACGGCCAACGGCCTTTTTTTTATTATCACGCAATACTCACATACAATCAGGGTCTTACGGAAAAATTTCTAGTTATATATTCATATTGTAATAGTCATAACAATTATTATTATCATACTTTGTCAAGTAACTACTTAACAATTAATTAGCAATCTTTTTTCCATTTTTCCAGGCACAATATTGTTTTGAAATTTCATGCAGATGTTCGGCAATAATTCAAGGATTGCTTTTTCAATTTTTAAAAAGATTTCTTTTATGAAAGGAATGATAGAATTATATTCTACCAAGATTGAGGTATGGTATTGACACTAATGATGATCAGTGCATTGTTGGAAGTGATGGATGTTTATTGATAGCACATGAGAAAATTCCAGTTACTTTAGAGTTAATAAAAAATATTGTACAGCGAAATTTAAAAGTTTTCTGAATTCAAAAAAAAAACCATAACATAAAATAGACTGCCAATCATATCAGTTCCAAGTTACATCAATATGCATCCTTGCGTCTCCAGAGATATCAATTGCATTATTTACTCGTGAGAAATCATAGCAACAACATTCATTTTGATCTGTAAATACAAATTCATGTATTCATCCTTTATTTAAATTACTCCCAAGTTTGTCAATAAAATTATCTATTATTAAGTTAGGTTTAGACAAAAATCTATACCTCACGATTTTTGATTAAAAAAAATTTTAAAATTGTGTGTACGAGCATTTCGATAGATATTTTGTTTAGGTATGACTTTTTGAAGATAAATATTGTTGTATGCCTTCCCTAGATGTACTAGGAATCCATCAGAATCCTAGATTCCCTTCTTCAAGATAGATTTTTCTCAAAATAAAGATAAAAATTTAAATATCATGCTTTAGCTTGGATATGATATTCTGTAAAGATGAGAAATTCTGACAGAAATCGATAAGACTATACATCAATAAAATTAATCGTGTGGTATTGTCAGTTCTAAATTGTTTTTTCTTTTAACTTTCAGTATTTCAGGATGATTTACTCCAATAATCAGACCAATATCTTCAATGTTTTTCTGTGTTTAGGAATTACATCAAATGATATGTCAATATTGACTACAGTGATGGGTGATATTTTGGAGATCAATTAACTAATTGATTTGAAATTTTCACTACAGTACACTTCAATCAATTTACCGATATTTTAAATCAACAAATAGCTAATAAATTATTTTTATTTCTCATGGTTAGATGAGTTTTATTAAAAATAGTACAAGAAAAAAATGATACAACGTTTAATATGCTTATGAAGTTTTCATCTTAATGTGAAGTATTAAGAGACTAACAACACTTTTCATACCATCATAAACCATGAGATTGCAGAGTTGCGGTTTTATAATATATCTTTACCATTTGTTTATAGCAATATAAGCTACGTCATTTGTAATGCTTGTTTTAGAATCACCACTCAAGAAGTGGGCCATTTTTCATTCATTATTTTTCCTTAGAGAATTTTTAAAAATTTATCCAATTTGCCTTTTACTTTTATCTAGTCTCTTTGTGAAATGAATAGAGAAACAAGAATAAAGTATTTCTCATCATGATGATGAGAGAGAAAAATAACCAAGTGATTACTTTCTATTTATTATATCAATATATCTAATTTCAGTATTTAATGTTTTTATTTTTCACTTGGCCATTTTATTATTTATCTTAAATTTTTAAAAAGATAAACAATAAAATGATTGGCTAATTTTATTTGTAGTTATCTGTGAAGTTGAAAAAGTGTTTCATTTTTAATTGAGTCTCATCACGAAGTGAGTTAGAAAGGTGAAAGTAGTTGGAGTTTATTTGTAGGCTACACCTAGAATTATATAGAAGTCAATGTCAAGAAAGCTAACATTAATGTACAATCTGACTGTTACCTCATGTACAATAAAGATCTTATTTACTTAAACTGCGAGTTAGCTCTGTAGGTGGTTGAAATTCAGTTTAATTGCCTAGGGACATGATAAATTTTCTTAATAAATAAAAGTTGAAAATCACAGAGTCAAGTTAATAAAAAGAAACATTTTCACAGACTAATTTTACTCCAAACACCACCATTGCATTTAAAACACCACATTAAAATTGTTTCGAATATTTATTCATAATAAATAAAATTCATTAACTCTCCTACAGTTTGTTAACAATAAATTAACTGTATTTGAAGTATATAAACCTTTTGATGATAAATATATTAACTTGCCAGTGTATTTCACTGGAAATGATTTTCGCATATTCAATCAAAAATGAATGTTGAGAAAAACAAGAAATCATGTGGACAGCTAATCAATTATTATCATTATTATATTTAATAATCAAAGAATATTTAATAAATGAGGAAGTATACATTTTTAATATTATTGTATGATTTAATATGAATTGTATGATTTCTGATATATTTTTGTCAGTAATTAATAAACACAAATATTCTGATCAAAAATATTCAATATCATAAATGAAATATTATATGTAAAGGATAAATACTAAAAATATTTTGTTGGTTGAAAGTTAATTTCCATGGAACTCATCCATAAAATCATTAAAAAAATATTAACACTGAAAGTATAATAGAATTATAAATTCAAATGACATCAAGACCTTTTCTGTGCAAATATATGTATCAAATGTTAATTTCATTATCAAATTTATATCAATTATACTATAAAAATCTCATCATGTATTTCAATATATTTATCAAGAAAGATATACATTTATTTAAATAAAAACCTATTTGAAATAATCTTTTTACTTGAACTAATAACAAAAAAATTAGTTATAAATTTTAATGAAGTAAATTCCGTTATAATAAGATACAGCTCTAGTACTTGTTGAAACTTATAAAGAAGAGCCAACCATGAAAAACATTGTAAAGCAGAAAACCAAAGTGAGTGACAGTGATATTGTCATAAAGTAGATAATATAAAATGCATGAAATATTCCAACTAATTTTTCCATCTCACAGTCAGCTTATTTTCTTCTTGATCGCCATCTTCTCCGTATGCTTATCACGCTGATGGCAAATGGCTCAGGGGATAGTGGTTCAGAGCTCGCTTACACGAATCTTTACTTTACTTTTTCTCCCTTGATCTCTGTCGTCTATGCTCAAAGTATGACGCGTATATCACTCAAGTGAGATGTGAGTGATTCTATAAAGGCTGAGGCTAAAACGCTCTGTACCAACCTCCTATGCTCCTCTATGCTCCATTCTGTTCTGTTGAGTCTGAGAAAGCAGCTATTTCACAATAGTGAATTGAATCGTGTTGCATTTGATAATTCTAGCTGTTTGTAGTCGAGATTGACTGACTGACAATTGCGGTGTTGTACATCTTTCACAAGATTCCATTAATTATATACAGTTGTTTACGTACCTATTCATCATGCTGCAATAGTGAATATAAGTTTTTTTTTTTCATCTTTTATAGCATAAGCCATAACGATATGTAATTTTTTCGAGTTTCCTCTATCAAGTTATTAAGTTTATTGTTCCTTTATTTTTCACATACATGTTTAGATGTTTTTTTTTCCCTCTAAACAATTAAATGATCCTCTCGAAAAAAAGAAGAACATTTTAATGAAATAATTGTAATGAAAAAACGTAGATAACATGCTGGAAATTTTCTTTCTTCTAAAGATTTTACTGAACAGTTTTCTTTTGCTTCGAGTGCTTGTTCGTAGTTGTAACAGATTTTCATTCTGTTGCATCTACAGATTTTTTTGCAGACTCACCGGAAATCAAGACTATTGCAGAGCAGATATTAAATCTGTTGCGACATCAAAACTTTTATCAATGTGTACTTTTTCCAAATCTTTACTATTTTGTATTTTATTTATAAAAATATATAAAAATATTTATTATAAATAAAATATTTCTTGTGGTTATTTAAATTTTGCTCTCCACTGATGCTGCTTGACTTTAATTAAAATTCAAATTTACAAAACTTAATAATCAGTTTAGATCACCATTAAAAAAATGTCTGATTGTATCTAAAAACTGTCCTGATTGATTTTATAAGCTAAACGGTTATCGATTCACGTGAAAGTAATTTAAAGGTGATTAGATTTTAAATAGAATTTACTGAATAATCTTGGTTATTAAAAAATTACTCAAAGCAAAAACCTCATGCCATCTGGTCACTATTTTCTAGAATCAAAGTAGTCAACAGTGTTTAATACAGCAAACTTTGTTGCTGATGTCCTTCGCTGTTTTGAACTTTAAGTTTGATGAGAAGTTTGATTCAAAGACACTGTGCATATCGAAGAAAGAATTATCTAGAGAATGAATACAACACAAAAGTTTGAGACAATACTTTTTTCAAGTAAATGATATGAAAAGACGTTTGGATGTAATAACGAGTGTTTTATTATTAGTTCTTTTATTTCGATTTAAAAAAGGTCAAATATTTGGAATTAACTTTAAGAGAAAATTTCGCTTTCTGATGAGAAAATTTCATTTTATATTCTTTTTAGCGTGAAATATGACATTACATGATGTCACGTCTGAACGAGTAACACCAAATAAGTTCAACCTTCACCGAGCAAAATATTCGGAGTAAAATATTCTGTCTTATAAGAATGTTGCTTCTATAATATATAAACAAAATAAAATGTCTTATTTGAAGTACATTATTAAATTAAATATCATTATAATACACTTTATGATAATTGAATGCTGTAAAATTTATTATTATAAAATAAAATTTATTTATTCAAGTGAATAATTAATAATGAAAGCTTTCAGTAATTTTTCTCTATCCATCCCATCAACCTATTTTTTTTTAAAATATCTTTATAAAAAAAAAGCTCTTTATAATATAGCTGTAATAGTTTATTATAAATTTTTGTGAGTGACATGTTAAAAATGTAAAATAAAAATGACCGATAAAACTTGGTGTGCAGCAGAGGAAGAAAAGAGATTGAGTTTAATCACAACTGACTGATTATTGATTAACAAAAGCCGTGATTTTTTTAAAAATAATCTACAAGTTATTTTCACAATATCTACCAATAAATATTGAACGTTTATTGTACAGAGTAATTGAATTTTTTATCAACTCTAATTGACATTACTAAGAAAATTTGGAATGTACTGTGCACCAATTTCCTGTCAATAACATAAGCATATAATAAAAATGAATTTTCATTTTTATTTTACTGATGATAAATATCCTTTAATACTTCAATTATGTTTTGTACATGTTTATTTTGCAACTGATCTCATTGATGTGTTTCATACAAAATAAAGTTTTTCTCGTTGAAAATCCCTTGAAATCCCTTCGGCTTTATCAAAGCAAGGAGGGAATTTTAAGGGGCTGTATGGAATTGTATCTACAACTCAGGTGTAATTTAGAAATCACATAACATGTGATAACTTAATGAGAGATCATATGATGCTCTAATTAACTTACTAATTTACTGGACAATAATAGTCATCGCCCTTGAAATAAAAAGCAGTTTTTTCTATTAAATGATTACTTTGCGTGTTTTAGTTTTAATGAACTTTACGAGTAATCCAATCCTTAAAAGCTTTTAGACCATTTTTTATCTCTCTAATAAAATATAAATAATTTTTAAAACCTACGTCAACTGTTTTTCTGTTTAATGTCTTCAGTATGACGTCGCAAATATATCAATAAATCGTCTTTTGTCATATATTTTTATTATCAATTTATCTCACTTCTTACTTATAATAAATTTTTTTATTATCAGATTTGTTTAAATAAAATCACATTTTGTATCTTTTAGAGGACCCCTTGGGGAAATTTTTCCATTTATTCCCGTTTATTTTTTATCAGTAATTGATTTTAGATTTCTTGAATTTTCTTAATAAGTAGTATTGTCTGATTTTGGCCAGACAATCGAAATATCTGAGTTTTATTTATTTAATAAATTATTTCATTTTATTTGAAATTGAATCATCAATATTTATATTTCGAATTAACGAAATATTTCTATCATTTTTCGTGTGTTTGCTTGTAGTTGACAACTCACCAATTACGTACAGGACTTTTCACTCGAATAGATTCAAGTTCGTATCTCACATCACCCTCGCATCACAAATTTTGTAAGCTTCATATTTCATATAGTAAATTTTACTCTAGTTAATTTTGTGTAAGATAACAACTTAGTAATGTTGAAAAAGTAAGATATACTATGAAGACAATTTATAAATAAAAATTACCATGTGCAAATGTTGTAATAAAAATCAATATCAATAATAAAAGAATATTTTTTTTTCTTGAATAAAATTTAATAATTTTTATTTTTAACTCTTCAGCAAATATATTTGAATTGAATTGAAATGTATGTTACATTATTTATATAAATTTTTATTTTTCTTATAATATCTATCTGTCTTCAATTCCACGTGTCTAGTGATATTTATTAAAAAAATATTCTTTTATCGAAAAATATACAAGATGCCCTTTTAATAATTTTTTTTATAAACATTTTTTTTATCAGTTGTCATCATCAATCCTATCCCTATCAATGTTACTTCATCGTAACCCTATATTTTATCTTGATACCATTTTCATCTAGACCTAAAAGTGGAAGAAATGAAAATATCATACACAGCACTTTTTAGGCTTATCATGAGCTGTCTTTTAATGCACAAATAAAAGTTTTTGATGAATGAAAACCTCAGCTGTATTTTAAAAATATATCCCCGAATATGTGTGTCAAATTTTGTGGTTAAAATATACTTTAAATAAAAAACCAAAAAAAAAAACTTTGTCAACAAACAAATAACGGTTGGGAAAATTCAATTAAAATTAAAAATATTTTCTCGTACTTAATTAAATTAACTAAAAAACTCTGAAATGAATGAGATATGATTTTTAAAAAATTCCTCTATAAAAAGGTCTGTTTTGACCCTTGATGGTACCAAAATCACGTAGTTTGATAACTTTGATAAAAGCTCTTTAAAATGTACTAAAATAATGAAGCCAACTAAAATGCAAGGATTCTCATTGTAAGGATGATAAATAATATTGTTATACTTTCACCCTTAATAAAATTAGTGATGAATAGTTGAACAAGTCACGCTCTCGTTCGATTGGGTTCGATTTTCTCGTTGGGTAATATAGCAGTGTGCGACCTTAGAGGGAACAATCATAAATGAGGGTGCAGGTTAGAGTCGAAGCTTTAAGTTTTGGGCCGAGTGAAGTTCGGGGTGAAAGAGAGACAGATTGAAGAGGGAAGTTGAAGGGTAAGAGGAGAAAGGGCGAATTGCCCCGCCCTCTTGGAGTCATCTCTCGTATGGTTTCTTCTCTCTCATGCTCATTTGAGAAAACATTTATTTTCTCTTTTTGCTTCGCCCGGCGCCACTGACGGCGTCCCACCAACCCCTAGCAGTTCCTCAAACTCCCGTGTACCGATCGATGGACTCAGCGCTGGCTATGGCCTCCCTGGCGCCACCAGCGTCCACCGAAACATTTTGTCCGTCAGTCTAAACTCGGGTTCACTCAGTTTACGACCGCTTGCCTCGAGACTTTGCATTTTTTTCCTTCAACTTTTACCTCAATTTCACTTTAGAACGTCACTAATTCATTTTTTTTCATCTACTCGTGCTTATTGATACGACCAACTTCTCTACTAATAACTACAACAAGTAAGTTCACTGAGGTTACATCTCACTCCATACTCTAATGTATAGTTATGACACTTTTATGCTATAATTTTACTTTTATTTTCAATTTAAATAAATATCTTTTTTTTTTACAAAATAACTATCTTTAACCTAATCAGCTAATAATACTTTTTAGGTTAATAATAGTGTCATATTAAGTAATAGTCGTTTTGTAATAATCAATACAGTTCATTTCAATTACTGATAGTGATTATATTTATGAATTATAGTATAAAAAATATTCATAAATATTTATTCATAATTATCCATCAATTTAATAACCATTTTTACATTCAATTTATCTTTATTTAAATATTTATTGAAACAACGATTCTCCAAAAATGCAAATCATATGGAAATATATTTTTTTTTTAATTCAACTATAATGAAGAATTAATTGGTTTAACAATTTTTATCATAGTATATTTTAATAACAATTCATTGATTGTAAGCTTTGGTAAACCGTTTATTTATTATTGAAAATGAAATGCCACATCTTTGCAATATTATGTAACAATGAAAAAATTTATAGTGAGAGAAAACTGAAATAAAATAATCCACATGGATGTACTTATTAATATGATTATAGACATGCACATGTGTAAAAGCTTAAAAGATGCTTACATTGATTTTCTTTTCAAGAAAATATTTTTACAATTTATTCCATTCGTATGAATTTATTCATAATAAAAAACACGATGGATGGAGACATAACGGAAAAAAATTTGTAAGAAAAAAGGATTATTTATGAATATATAAAAATTAAAAGAGATGCAAAAGCTTGTTGAGTATTAATTAAGAAAAGCTTGATAGCTTTTTAATTGAATTAGCAGAGACAACTAGTTGGCTAATAGACTACTACTATCGTATCTTGTTAACCTAAAAGTACGTGCAGGAATTGGGAAACTAAGATGCTATTAAGGGATAATCGTTAACACCATAAAAACCAGATATTATCTATTACGAATACCTGAATTTCAAAAAGTAAGGAATCAATAAAAAGCTAAAGTACTATTTGGTAAGAATTATTTAAATTTGAAAGCAAAGTTAACTTCGAAATTCAAGTTAGAAACTATCTTTATTGCAACATTTGAAAACTCCCACTTGTCTTGAAGCCGTACTTTACATTGATTTTTTCACTTGTTTGGAATAATTAGAAATTAATTGGAATAACGTTTAAATTTAGTTTGCAAATTTTCGACAAGAAAATGGAAATTAGTTGTTGACAATTATTTATTAAAAATTATTTTAAAAACTAATAAATTGAATATTGATGAAATATTTTTGTTAATTAAATAAATTTTATCCAAATATTTTTAAATTAAAAAACTCTTTGTAAGTATTTATGAAGTATAGTAGAAAAATAATTAAAAACAATTTTATTACGAATTTGCTGAAAATTATTATCTAAAAAGGTAAATGAAAAAATACTAACATGACTTTGAGATACTTTGAATGACTTAAAATGTCCTAGAAGAGAAACATGTCTTGACAAGATTCGTTAAATTGCTACAAGCGTTCAAAGTCACCCCTCTAATTTCCTCTACAAGCTCGAATTTATAAAAAAATCCACAAACGAAAAGTTTTTATTTATATTTACAACAAGTTGAGCAGTATGCTTTATCATTAAAGTGCTTCAAAGATTTAACAGAAAACTTGAGCCTTACTTTTTTAAATAAAAAATATTAATGTACTTTGGAAAGCTGTTAGAATCTGCAGATGATCATGAATAAATTTTTCTTTATCTTTTTCTCATCCTGCAAAAAAAATTTTTAAATTGCAGGCAATTTTTATTCGCGCTCGCTTAGTCAGACATTGCCCAAGGATAATAATGCCACACAGTGGCGAGTAAATCTCGTGTCGAGAATTCTACGCTTATATGGTTTTTGAGGACGAGAGAAGAGCATTCATGCGCGTACACATAAACCTTACTACTGCACCCTTAAAGCAGCCACAGATCCATCGTTCTATATACGTATATGTGTTCCAGTATTCTGGCAATATTTTATTGTATACTATCTCTTACTTTTTTCTCCATAAATGTATATACCTTCACTTCGAACTAAGTCAACTTTACATTGTTAAGGTGAGGTTTAACAATAACAAGACCGATAAAGCTAGCAAAAACGAGATTAAATTTTTTTTCTATTTTCAATGTTCTTATTCTATCAACTTACCATGTATTCAACAAACTTTTCTCATAATATTTCAATTAAAGGGTTGCATTTATGCTGATATCCTAACAAAAAGCTGTGAAATTTAAATAATTTATCTCAACTTTTACTATGTTGAAGAATTATTAACAGTATTTTTTCAATTAATTCAATACAAAGTTCATCCTTTGTTAAGTAACGATTCGATAAATTCAAAAAATGAGATTCGTATCAAAAATAGTAAGCTCATCCTCAAGATAGTATCGATTAAATATTTACCCCAATGCACTGAAATTATCTTGGATGACTCTTGAGATCTCAAAATATAAAAATCCATCTAAAAATAGCCGGAGAATAAAATGAATAAAATAGCAGCATTCTTATCATCATCAAGATAATAATTTCTAATTCCAACGACCAATTAACTTTCAAGATCTCTATTTCCAATTCAGAGAATTTTATATCAATTACTTTGCTTGCACTCAATGTAGAAAAAGAGTAGATTTAATTGTTCCGTCTGAGATACAAGCAGAAACAAAGTTAATATAATTACTAAACAATATTAAAACTATACCTTAGATATGTTATCTGATCTTTTAATATCATATAAAACACAATCTCAAGTTTTCTAATCAATTAATTACATTGTTGTTTCATACATAAGAATAACAAAAGACTAAAGAATATTTCTTCTCCATCAGATGATGACTTGGAAAAAACTTGTTTTAATTAAAAAAGTTTTTTTTCTTGAGCTAATAAGTAATTTATCTCAGCCAAATTTCAATATCATTCTTGCTATCAATCGTTGCTTCATTCATCCAAAACAATTTTTCTAAATCTTGACTACAATAAATAAATTTACTACAAATTTACTACAAACAAGGTTTATTAATATCTAATGATATTTATTTACAGTAAATACATTGTTTTTTCAATGTTCTATTTAATTGTTTATCTAAGAATATACTTGTCTTATTTATTCAAACTCTATAGTATTTTACTTTCTATGAGAATAAATATTTGCTTGTAACACATAAACAATAAATTGTCACAGAATACACGTGCGAAATTAGAAACAAACATCAACACAAAGCAGTATAAATTTTCAAAAGACTTTGTTCTATGATGCGATTATTCTTATAGGTGACTGACTGGTTGACTTTTCCATTTTGGTATCACCAAAATCTTAATTTTGTATATTTAAGCTTAATGATAACATAGTGAGTGTAAAACCATCATGGGAATATAATGGTGATGCAGATAAGACAATAGTGTAGCAACAAAACTGAAGAGTAGAATATGTTGAAATAGAAAGAGACTAACTGAAAGCAATATGAGAAAGAGGATAAGGAGAAAAGGATAGTAATGGAAATAAGCCTTCATATTCAGCATACAGGAAAGGCAAAATGTCTGGTTTATCCATTTAATTAACGAGACAATGGCAAAGAGGCATTTTATATAACCAACGTCTCCAGTTACTCTACCAATTCATATTCTATCTCGGAATAGCCTGACAGCTTTGATACACCAGCATACATGTGCTCTTGTCGAGATATATTTTAGATACATTAAAGGTTTCACGTCAAGTCCACGTTGATTCACCAATTCTCAAAGAGCAAAGTGCACTTGCTGTCATTTTACAAATTATTCTACTGTCTTTGAATCTTCACTACATGTAGGCTAATTATCTTATCACCTTTTCCAACAACCATTTGAGATAGCCATACTTTTAGCCATCACCAACAGCACTAGTTACCTAATTTAATTTCATTTCCTCATCAAAACTACCACTTAGATACAAAATTGATATCATTTGCACACTTGGAATTTATTCCATCAGAGCTTTGGTATCATGAATCGTACTCTAACATGACCACTTGGACAATGGGAACAGAGAAAGAATAGCCACTTCAATATTAAAGACATAAACTCTGAGAGAAAGAAGCGCTGATTTGTAGAATTTTTTTGGTGAAGATTGGATCCATTGTGATCATTTACTTTGTTCGAAATCTTTATTGGAAACATTTAAACTATCTGATGGTCGTATTAGAAAAAAGTTATGGAGATAAAAGATGCATGATGTGAAAAAAAAATAATTTTAAAATAAAAGAATCGATTGAAAGTAGTTAGAAATATCCATATGTCAAACTGTCTACATCCCAAGTTTGGTTTCATGTTCTGTAATTGAGTTTATTGCATTTTTATGAGACTAATAAACTTCAATAATTTTTTATTGATGTAATTATTCGATTTTTACACTCTTTTCCACTTTATAAAATTTTGTTTAAATTATTTCTACCAAATTACATTTTATTAAAATTTCATTTTGTCTTATGAACTATTGTAAATTATTTTGTAATATAATTGCAAAATGGGTATTATAAATTCTAAATTCAGAAGAAAGCTCTAATTTATATTTGATTCTACAAGGTGAACATAATAAAATTTATTATGAACCAATTTACCTTGCTTTCCCATTATACTCACCTCTTTACTATCACCATATATATCAATTTACTTTTCTGAACAGTAAAATTTATAATCGAACTCAGAGAATTTATATGACTAGTCAGAACTTGTGTTATCGTTAAACTCACCAAGGTCTATTTCATGGTTAAAGACCTCTTCTGTCTGCTGTAAATCAGTCCGTTTCTGATTGCAGTCTTAATTGACTACACTCTTCAACAATATTTGCTATAACAATGTCCATTATTCTATCTTCAATCTATTAACAACTTATCTAGCTACTACAACATCTTCAAATTGACTATCTTCATTTATAAATCCAAGTACCTTTCAAACTTATTAATTATTTAACATCATTGACTATGAATAAATATGAATAAACTAATATTAATATTTTTCTGAGATATCACATATAAAAATATTTACTAAAATTGTTTGTTATCTGATTTATTCTATTTTAGTTCTTTTATCAATTTTCATAAATAGGAAAAAAAAATGTGTTTATGATTAATTAATCAATCTATTAATAGTCTAGTTATAAAACATTATGTACTAAAATATTAGATATTATTGTGTCTATAATCATGGAGTGTCTTGTGTTAATAATAGCTTAGAAAATCAATAAGTTAAATTTATATCATGTTAAGTACAGCTGACAATATGACTATTTTTATATCTAACAAGTCAATATTTTCCTTCAAGTGAATTTCATTTTTTTCACTTTCTAACCAGATTATTCATCAAGTTTACGGTTGCATCACAGTTGTCCATACGACATTATAATTTGTTATATTGAATTGTAGCATGGAGATGATGTAACTGACACATCCTTGATGACTTATTAGACCGGATAAGTCTCGATTAAAACCAAGTTTTGCATCAGACAAAGTTTCTTAGCCTACGACACAGAGGTTACTTGGAGTTAAAGTTGGTGATGAAATTAGCAGTTAGTAAGTGCAAGTATCACAGTAGAACATGGTATAGAAAAAGAGATTAATAATATTTCACGTTTCCTGAACTTATAAACTACTGCAGACTTTTTATAATTTTATTTCGTACTAGAATTAACATTGAAAAATCTTTTTTACAGATATTTATAATCTTATTTCCAACAATATTCTTAGTTTTAATCTTGTTTTCTAGTTTTTTGTCATTTGGTTTTTTATTTTAATAAGATATCAATTTTCTTAGTTAAAGTTTCTTGCTTTCTGAGATGTAAGTTACTCATAAACTAATTATCACGTCAAAAGCCCTTGTAAGTTAAGCTCCCAAAAGGCTGAATATGATTTGAAGACTAATTGATCATTGAAGAGTTTTGAAAGTAAAAAGGATATTTTGAATAAATTGATTGAAACTTATGATAGTAGTTTGAGAATATGAAAGTTTATTAATAGGATAAAACAAAGGGGAGATAGAATAACAAAGAGATGACTTTAATGGCTTATATTCGTACATATTACTTGATAACAATCAGTACATTTACTTCAATCATTGGTTCTAGATGAATGGCCATTTTTTCAATATTATTAGTGATCTAGATATCACTTCATAATGTATGTAGATATCAAAAGACACTTGGGTTTTAAAAAATCAGTTTTTAAAAGCTGTGAATTTTTTTTTTTTTTTTTAACAAAAAATGGTGTAAAAAAGTTTCATCTGAACACAATCCATGTTGGGCATTTTAAAGGCTCTTTTTCCTACAAAATACTCGTTTAATGGAGGTTGTGTGACCTTTTTTAACGGAGTTATTGGCTGCTGGAAAAAAACGTCATTTTCAACTTTGAACTTCAATACCTCTTAAAAAATAGGGGTTCTTCAAAAGTTCCAAATATATTATATAGAAAATTTTGTCGGAATTTTGAAGAACAACTTGGTTTAATCTTATCATTTTTTTTGTTTTGTAATGAAACATTACAATTAAAACAATTTATTCTTATACTGTTTTTTGTAAACCTATTGATTATCCATAAATCGTAATGAGTTGATAAAAATAAACTTGCACATAAATGGAGTTGATTGAAGCCCAAGTGCTGAAGTATTGAACACAAAGAAAAAAATTATTTGCAATACTAAACAATTCTGTTTTTAAGCTTAAACTCCATTTTCAAAGTTAAATAACTCTGGCTCTATTCACTTTACAAAGAATTTTTATTGTGCATGCATCAATAGGAGATGGTTATTTCAACATCTTGATGGATTAAATACTCAAGGAAATAGAGAAAAAAAATTATGGAGGTAAAAATGAAGGAAAAAAAAATAAAAGAATGTGAGGGAGATTGAGAACAGAGAAAAAAATTGAAATAGACAATTTCACCAATTTTCCCTTTGGTTTGTGCTTGATTACTTAGAGGTCTAAATGGTGAGGAAGTTGGTAGAATGGGGGATTGATGTTGACATACGTTCTGTTAGAAAATCAAGCGCTCACCGACGCCACTGTACCGACGTCGCGACGTCTTAACGCTACAAAGTGGAAACTCTGGCGTCCGTCGCGCGTTCTCTCGGTACGTCTTTATCGATTTTCTTGTACTCTTATTTCAATAGCTCTGACATCCAATCCTACAAGGTTCCGCAATGAGTTTGTTTGTCAATTTCCTTTTTTTATATACTAAATAGAACTAGAAAAACGAAATATTTACCTTCGTCCTTTCTTTCTCCAGTTTAATTCTCTGTTTAACCTCGATTACTGATTTTTCATTGGTCAAACTATTCTGTGGATTTGTATTATGTGGTAGATGGTTTCAATAGTTTTTCCTTTAATTCCAGTGATAGTCATAGTTTAATCCTTTAATTTCAAGTTTAAATGTATTCTGTTTAGAGGAAACCCAGATTACATTGCTAAATCAACACTTAACATTGCTAGATTTATTTTAATTTATTACCCAACGATGCAAGTGAACATAACAAATGGTAAAATACAATTATGGTAGACTCGATGAACTTTCAAATGGAACTGGATTCGTGAAAACAAATTTTTTATTTCACGAAAATACAGTCATTTGAAAATCACTGATGTTTTTTAGCTTTTTTTTTTTTTTTAATTCAACGATTCCTCATTTTTTTTTTTCACTTTAATACAGAACTGTTTTATATCATGAATATTTATAATGTTCAGAATAATATTCTCTCCTTTGTAGCAAAGTCCACATTAGTTTTTTAAAAGTGGAAATTTTTAAAGTGGATTACGGTCTGATTCACAATACTGATCAGTTCATTTTAATTTATTTTCAAATTGAATATCTGTAAAACCTAGTAATGAATGATGAAGAAATTGATTTCCATTGTTTGCTTGGTATTTTCTATGTCATTTTTAATAAACGTCTATTTTTTTTTTTAATACAATCATAATAATTATTATCAATTGATTGAAATTTAATATTTTAAATAATTCCACTTTATTATATCACATTTATTCATTTGATCTACTTGGAATATTATTTAAGTATCAATATATTTTTTTGAATAAAAATAACTCTTTGATATCGTTTTCATATTTAATTTAATTTCCTGAAAAAAAAATGTTAAACACCAAGGTATATCTGCTGTCAGCGGTATTTTGTTTTAGACTTGATGTCACTTTCCGATATCCGTTCGTTGAGCTTTTTTCCGTTGAAGCCGGAAGTGTGATCTGATGGCTATGATTGTTTTTACCTGCAACCGAGATACCATACCAAGATTTTTCGATTCAGCTGTTTTTGTAGGGGCGTGAGTAACTTTGTTAGAGAAACAGACATCTAAAAAAAAGTCTAACTCTGGTAGAAAAAGGGTCTCATTAATCTCCCATGAATCTGAAAATGGGAAAGTTCAACAGAAAAATTCACTGTAGTCGATTTGTGATCAACAAACAATACTTTTTACTCACGATTCAAGTGATAAAAAAATATGAAAAATAATGGAACTTTAATGTGCTTGGATATATTCTGAATGAATTCAATAATTCAAAAGTTTTTTTTTTTCCTAAAGTTTTAAACATTTTTCGTGAGACTTCTTAATCTAGGGAATTCAATAAAACAATGGAAAATTCTCCAGCATGAATTTTTTTTGAGACAAAGGTCCAGCTTGGATCCGGATTAACCCAGTTCGGATCTGGATGTTGATGACAAGGATAGAGATGTTACCATAGAACCATAGATTATTGATAAATATCACCTGGTGATAGTTTCTTCATTAATACTTGAATAAATCTTACTTTCTTGAAATAAAAAGTATCATGATAAATTTTATTTATCAAACTTTTATACAGAAATGTCATTTAAGTACAATAAGAAAAAAAAATCCAACTTTAACCTTCTTTTCTGAATAATTCATCAATCTAAAGAAAGTAAATGAGCACTTGCAGTTTACCAGAACGTTTCAATAAATAAAGTAACATAAAAATTAGTAGGTCAATCGTTTGATCATGCTGCTACACTTGTATAATAGCTTGACTATCTAACAGTAAAGTTACTTCATCATTTGATGATAGAATCATTTATTTATTGCAATTAAAATAAATTCTTTCCACCTATAGTTCATGTCTTCATTAATGCTTATTATTATTTATCAAGAAATTATGCAATACATAATTAATAAAATCACTAGATAGGTTTCTGAATTGTAAAATCAATGAATTGTTATTATATCAAATATTCTATATTATTCAATCAAACCTTCAATAAAAAAAGAAATGTTTCCTTAAAGTAATTTTTTATAAATAATCTTATCAAGCTTTTCTTTTTTTATGAGCATAGTTTGTACCATGACCTGACTTTTTAGTCAGTATTTTAGATTGAATTAATATTAATCAAGATGTGTCAATTTAATTAGATTCTCCAATAAATCACTAAAATGATTTGAAAATACTTTATTGACATGATAAAGGAAAACTTTGAAAGTGAGAGACAATTTTTCTTGAGCTTTAATTTCATGTTGTTTGATGTTTTAGCATTATTACTTAGGTACATTATAATTACCAATATTCTTGATTTATCTCTTTGCTTACAGGCTCGAGGTAGCGGTAGTGTATATTTAAAAAAGCAGCAAAGGAGAAAAACTCGCAAAGACAGGAAGAATGGCGGCTTTTGTGGCGAAACAGATGGTTGGAAATAAATTAAACGCTGTTAAAGGTGAGTAGTAGTAAGCTTATGCACTCGTGGACCTGCTTTTCCTCCTCATTCTTCTCCTCTTTCTACAACCAAGTCTCTCGATAAAGTAATTGAGAGAGATTTTAATAAACCGCTTTCGTTAATACCGTCCAATGCACCAAGAGAGCTTGCACAGGATTTATCCTCCAAGAACAAAATCATGAATCCGCTTAATAATCAGCAAATTGTCATTTTAGCTTTTTTCCATGTTTCTCCATCTTTTTTGCCCTCTTTCTCGTTATTTTCACTGGTATGAAGGAAGTTGAAGTTAAAAATATACTAATAACTGCAAAAAATACTATTTGTCGATAATCCCTAAACCCACTAGAGGTTATATGTAAATATGGTCACATGAAAATGGCGGCCTATACCCACCACTTGTCTTGGATCGATCGACTTATCCTTCCTCTCCCCTAAAAATGCTCTTTCCCCAATTAGATCCTCTTACTATATCGAAATGCTTTCGGACATAATCCGATAATAACCATTGAAATAATCCTTACTTTTTGTTACATATGTTATTAGCGAATTAATGTGATTAATACCATAGAGATAGTGCCGATAATGACGCCATATCTGGTTTAATTGTCAGTTAATTCAATGCTCAGAGATTATAAGGGAAAATAATTATCAAGAGATACTTAAGCTTTAATCTTTAATCAGTTTCTGATAAATAAAAAATCATATTTTATTTAATACTTGGAGTGATCTTGGAATATTTTTGAGTATAAAAGAACAAACATTTTCAGAGATACAAAATTTTTTTTATTGGAAAACTTGTATTTTTTCAACTAAAAAACTGAAGAATTTGCGATTGGAAAAGTTTTCTGGTAGCATTGTTCAATTTTATGAAGAAAAATATATACGAAACGTGTTTCTTATTTTTAACAAAGTTTTTCTAATTTAGCAACAATTTTATTGCTTACTTCTTTCTTATTTTTTTAATTTATCATTTGTATTTTATAGACAAGCTTTTCTTCAATTATTTCACACATGTTATCGTATTTATTTTTTACATGAATTGAATGCAGCCAGCCATGAAAATTTTTGCAAATTTTTCAAACATTTATCTAAAGAAACAGAATTTTCGAATAAAAGAATTTTTTTGCTAGAGCATATCCGGCTTATCAAAGTATAATATTCATGAAATTTCAAAAATTTTCCTAATTCTATGATACTCGTGGGCGTTGATAGATTAATAGGAAAAAATTATGAAGCATTTTACCAAGGAATGTGAATTTAATTCCTTGCATTTCTAAAATGCTTTATAATTGTTTGCAAACGCCTTTTCATCTTGAAAACTAATTTGTATATCTTCTACATCTCAACTAAAATTAAATCTTTGTAATTATAGAAATTTTGTTTCTGATTTAGAAATAAATGAAGTTATAAAAATGAAAGACTTCTTTGTTAAGAATTACAATTGAAAAAGTATATTTAACTTCAATAGTACAATTAATCATGACTTTACTTACTTTTTAACTACATTAATTATTTAAACTATTTACCTCTTATTAACCCCCCTTTGTACAATTATATTACCTAAGCGTCTTTTCACTACTTAACAAAGACAATTCCAAAATGAAACTTTAAAACCCCACATATTACCATCGAAACACTCAAGGACTTTTACACTTATGCAGTCTGCTACTGAAATATTCAACGTGACTTAAGATCTTCCACTGGAAACTTTTTTTAAGAGTTTAACAATTAAACTTGCATTGTAATTATGTACCAATACAAATTACAGTTTTGATTACTTTTTTTAATAACAATTAAAAACAATTTGAAATTCTATTTTTTTATTAATTTTTATAAAAAATCAATATACACACGATTGGTAATATATTTTTTTTTAATTAAAAAATAGTTTCAATCACAAAATTACACAGCTACAATTTTTACTATTGGATCGATTTTCAATCAAAATAGGTTTTTTTTCTACTTTTAGTACGTCTTGAAGCAATCTAAAATAAATTAAATTTTGGCTGGACTTAATTTAATCAGTTTCAAATGAACGACGAGAAATGGAGAGTTTTTTCCAAAATGAACTTCACTCAATTATCTTGAATATATTCAAGGGGTTATATAATCCTTAGTACACTTAAAAAAAGTCTGTTAGATTTTCTGAGGATTTTATCATTAAAAAAACTACATATATATCTAATATTTTTTAACTCTCAAACTACCTTGGAAAAAAGCTCCATCATTTTACTGCTTTTGGTTAAAAAAAAAGAAATTAAAATTCAACTCAAGTCATCTTATCTTATCCCTTCAAAATTAAAAAAAAAATTCGTATCAAACATCAACGATAAAAAGGTCATGGTATAACGTTTTGATGCTTCGAATCATTGGTATAAGAATTAACAAAGAAATTAATTGAAACGAGATTAATACATTTATTAAATAGAAGTCAGCATTGGTATGGATAAAATAAAGAAAATGGCTGATAATGTCAGGAGGAAATTTAAAAAGCATCTTGTCAACGTCAAGTTAATCACGCGCGTCATATACAGAGCATCTTGAAGGACCCTCATTCCCCCTAGGTGCCTTTAGCCCGGAGGAAAGTGGCTATATCAGTGGTGATGATGGCGTTGTAGACGACATAAATATAAAAGAAGGAATTGAATGCGTTGAATGCTCATTTACCAGTACTACGATATAGCATATCGTGCAGTTGTCCCTGAGCGATCTTCTTTCATTTTTCTCCTCTTCTCCCTCGTCATTCTTCTCTTCCTGCTCTTTGCAAGCCGCTCACCTTGTGGAACGTCCGACCGAGGTGGAATCCTTAATATAGTCGGCAGAAGAGGGTGAGAATGACATTCCTAGCAACCCGCGACGTTAAATTACGCGTTCTGGCATGCGGTCCAATAGTGAAGATGATAGAACGCGATTCATGATGGAGAAAAGCTTTGAATAAAATAACGAAAATTCTTTAAGAGACAGATTATATAACCATCCACTAATGCCAGCCGCATTATTCATACTCATTACAATTCTATTTTATCTCGAGGTGCCAATACAATTGAACATATTTATCTATTCCATTTAAAATTGAAGCAGAATAACTTTCAAGTTTAGAATTTTTTCAAATGCATAAACATGCTTCCGGAGTATTGATGAAGATAAAGAAGTTGATGCACTAGAGAATTTCATGTTTATTGGAAAATAGTTTGGTTATTTCAATTATTCATCATCTAAAGTTTAATTTTATGGATTTTTTTTTATAAGTAATGAATCAATTTCCGGGTTAATATTAAAGTATTATTTATTTTAGAATATTTCATTAAATATTTTATGAATAGATCCACATTTACTGGGACATTTTAGGAGTATTAAATCGTAATGTTCAAGTTGTTATTCAATAATTAATAAATTTATTTTTAAAAATAAAAATGAAATTCGTTTCTCAATTCTTTAGAACGAAAAAAAAAGAATTAATTGAAAAGAATTTTATTGTAAACATTTTAATATGAAATTTATATAAAACTATTCAAAAAGCTTTTCTTTTATTTTTTAAAAAATTATAACATTTTATTCTTCTATATTCTAACATACTTTTGAAGTCAACGTTAATCTAAAAATCCTCATAAGTTCTTTTTAATAAATGAAAACAAAAACATTTTTATAAATGCATTTTTTAATGCTTTCTAAAAGTACATAAACACATTCTCAGTTTCAACTTCACCTCGTATTCACGGGTGTACGATATATATTTTTTCCACAGAGTTATCTATTCATCATCATATCCTTGAGTACTCATACCCCGAGAACAAATCATGACAGAATTTTTTTTTTCTTCTTCAACTGTATTTGATATTGCTGCAAGTCATACATGACCTTGGAGATAGAATCACATAGCTTTTCAACCACTCACTACGTTGACTTTCAATTTTTTCTTCTTTGTTAAACACAAAGTACTTCAAATACCACCTTTACTTTTTCTCAACATACAATGAATCATTATGAACAAAAAAATTGAAAATCCACCAACGTCATATGAAAAATTAATATCTTCATCTAGAAATTTAGCTTTTTTTTATCTCTAAAAAAACTTTATTATAATTATCAGCTCAACTATGGGAATCCCAAAAAATTATTTCCATTGAAAAAATTTAGATTAATGTACACATCAATATAATCCTGATGACAAAAAAGATTGTCGTCTATTAATCTTCTTTTTACTCTCACTTTCCATTATAATATTTATCAATACAAATGCTAAAACTAGCATTGAGAGACAAAAACAACAAGCTTTTACCATCACTTCCCTTCACCCTCCCCCCTTAAATCCAAACTCCCTAATTTCAATTCACCAATTGTCTGTATATGCACATTTTCCATTACTTTTTTTTCCTTTTCCTCTGTACAATACATAATTCATTAAATCTTCAATTTTAATATTAAAGAAAAGAGGGAAAAAATAAGGTCATCACTTTTTGTCTTTTACTAGTGATTCTATCCTACATAAATTATTTTTTTTATATCAATAAAAGTGTTTCGATATTGATAAATGGATTTATTCGTAAGTTTCGAAAAATTTTATTTCTCCAAAGATGGAATTGAGGTTGACCTAGAATTTCGGAATATTAAATTGAAATTAATTTTGAATAATTATATTATAAAAAAAAAGGGGGATGAAATATTAATTATTTATGAAAACTTTTATTATATATAATTTAAAATTTTATTATTCATGTTTCCATTTATCCAGTTGAAGTGTTGTATTTAATTTTAGTCCATTTAAAGATTCACCAATTAAAAGGTAAATAAATGATCTATTTATTGATAATGGCCTTTTATAGAATGAAATAATTTGATATTTTTACATATTAATAACACTCAACAGTAAATGGTTGTAGTGAATTCACATAGAATGAACGTCTGAAAGCTTAACAAGTACAATTTTATGGATACTATTGCTTATTCTACATTGTTTCATTACAGTCATGTTACTAAAGGAATTTATGGGGTTGAATAAA